GGGTTTATACACCACCTCAAATTGGTAGCCCAATAGCTTAGCTAACCAATTTTGTTGGTCCACAGTAGTAATTTTTTGCTGCAATAAATGCCAAAGGCTCTTTTGATTAAAATGAACTACAAACTTTCTTCCCAATAAATACAGTCTCCAATGTTGCACCACTAAAACCAATGCCATCAATTCTTTTTCGTAAGCCGACTTAGCCAAGTTGTTCTTTGACAGGGCCTTACTAAAAGAAGCAATGGGTCGTCTGCCTTGCATCAGGACAACACCTACCCCCTTCCCCGAAGCATCACATTCAATCTCAAATGGTTGACCAAAATTCGGAAGAGCTAACACCGGTGCAGTAGTCATCGCTCTCTTCAATTCTTCAAAAGCTTGGGTAGCTTCTATTCCCCATTTAAAACCTTCCTTTTTAGTAAGTTCCGTCAAAGGTTTTGCAATTTTTCCATAGTCCTTGACAAATTTTTTGTAATACCCAATTAATCCCAAAAAGCCTCTCACCCCCTTCACAGTTTTGGGAATTGGCCATTCCATCACACACTTCACCTTAGTAGGGTCCATGACTACTCCTTTTTCTGAAAGTATATGTCCAAGATACTCCACTTGTTTGTGACCAAATGCATGCTTCTTTTTATTAGCCACAAATCCCTTATCTTGAAGTACCTCAAGGACTTGTTGCAAGTGTTGTACATGCTCTTCCCATTCCCTACTATATATAAGTATGTCATCAAAAAACACCAAAACAAATCTTCTTAAGAGTGGTTTGAACACTTGGTTCATGGTTGCTTGAAACGTAGCTGGGGCATTGGTTGGCCCAAACGGCATTACCAAGAATTCGTAGTGGCCTTCATGTGTTCGAAAAGCGGTCTTATGCACATCCTCCTCCTTGATTCTTATTTGATGGTATCCGGACTTGAGATCAATCTTAGAAAAATACTTAGCTCCCTCCAATTCATCTAACAACTCCTCCATTACCGGTATAGGATACTTATCCGGAATAGTAACCTTGTTAAGTTCTTGGTAGTCGACACACATCCTCCAAGTATCATCCTTTTTCTTGACTAGGATTACCGGACTTGAAAAAGGACTGGAGCTATGTCTAATGAGTCCCTGCTGCAGCATAGCTTGAACCTGTATCTCAATTTCATCCTTGTGATGAAAAGGATATCTATACGGTCTCACACTAATGGGTTTCACATCATTCTTCAACTCAATGGCATGAACCGTATCCCTTTTTGGAGGTAACCCATCAAGTTCTTTGAATACCCCCGGAATACTCTTCAACAATTGATCAAGCTCTCCTTATTACTGCTCATTCAACTCATGTTTCTTGCTCTCCTCATATTCAAGCCCTTCTTCTTTTAACAAACTGTGTAAGGACGAACCGATAGCTTCCGACAAGGATTTGATCCCTTGTAACTCCTTCAATTTCCCCTTCCAAGGAAAGCTTAACATCATATTTTTCCAATCAAAAGTCACCTTACCAAACTGTCTCATCCATGTAGCCCCCAAAATTACATCCAAATCACTCAATCCCAAAACATAAGCAGTAATTCGAGTAGTAAAATCACCCAACATTACCTCCAAGCCCTCACACTTATCCATGGTTGTAGTCTTGTGACCATCTCCCAACTTCACCCCCAAAGCTGTTATTGGAGTCACTGTTAATCCTAATGTCGTCGCCACTTTAGAATCAGTAAAACAATGACTTGCACCACTATCCACCAACACTTGGATTGAGATCCCATTCAATCTCCCTCTTATCTTCATCGTAGCAGGCTGTCTCCTCTCCATTTCCTCAAACATTCCCAAAGCATTACACTCAATGGCCACCTCCTCTTCTTCTTCCTGAACCTCCACGGCGATGATTTCTCCTTCTTCATTCACCTTCTCATCATCCCCTAGTATCACTAATCGAAGTTGCTTTTCTGGACATTGATGGAGTGGGTGAAATTTTTCTCCACATCGAAAACACAATCCCTTAACCCTTCGGTCCATCAATTCTGAATAGGAAAGATGATGAACCCCTCTGTTTCGCTGCCCACCTTCACGATTGAATTGACGCAAGGAATTTGAGTTGTTCCCTGTTTGAGAATTCGTCCCAGAATGGGCCGATTGGGCTGACTGAGCAGGCCCAAAAACTCCTCCACTCCTATTTGGGCTCGGGTTGTAACTATACCCATTTCTAGTTCGTTGACCCGAGAAGAACCTAGGCCCAGATTTACTTTTATCCAGCATGCAGGCATGGCAACGGGGCGGGGCGGGGGCGGGGGCGGGTTTTGCCTCCTCGATCCCCGCCCCCGATCCCCGCCGGGGTTAGAAATTAAGTCCCCATTCCCGTCCCGCCGAGTTTCGGTTCCCGTCCCCACCCCGTCCCCGATCTATATTATTTTTAAAAAGATAATTACATTTATAATAAATTAATTTTACTATCTATTTTTTATATATAAATAAATATTTATAATTTTATAATTTATAATAATTATTAATTAAATATACATTTTAATTTATTATATTTATATTAAAATATTTATGTAATAGAAATATTTAATCATTTTTTATTTATAACATTATTATTATTATTATAATATATTCAAATATTTGAATATTTATAACATTATTATTATTATTATAATACTCGTATTCAAACATTTGATTATATATATAAGTTAATTCATTTTTAAGTTGTAATTTAAAAATATGAAATATATAGTTTATAATGAAATATTTAATAAGTTAATTATTATTCAATTAATTCAAAGTAATAAAAGTTTAAATTATCAATTCTTTTAATCCTTTAAAATATAATTATTTTATTAAGATAAAATTTGATATATGATAAATAATAATAATAAGATAAACAAATGACATAATAAAACTTAATAAATATAAATTATAAAAAAATAATATTAGTTACTATTAAGATTTATGTAAAATATTTAGAAAAAGATAAAGAATAAAAAAATTAACTATGTTCATCAAATTGATTGAAAAAATTGAAAAAAAAATTTGATGAGAGAGATTAAGAAAATATGAAAAATTACAAGGTATAAGAGAGAATAATATAATAAATTAATTGATATAAAAGATTAAAAAAGATAAAAAAAATAAAAAAATAAGTAGAAGAAAAATAAAAATTGGTAAAATATAAAAAAATGATCTTATATGTAATAAAAAAAGAAAAAAATACTTTTAAAATATTAATATTTTAAAATTTAAATTTAAATATAAAGTTGGGGTGGGAAGGGGCCGGGGTCTGGGTGAGGATTGCATTACCCATCCCCGCCCCCGCCCCCGTCCCCCGACTTTTTAAAGCAGGGAAAACCCGAACCCGCCCCTGCCCCCGGTCAACTCGGGTTTTCCCCGTCAAAGTGAGGAGGGGACGGGTTTAATTGTCATTCCAACCACGTCATGGATCCATCTCCTTCACCCATCGTCTCCCACGAGTATCGTTTATCTGGGTTGGGAATCCTCTAAGCTCCGTCTCAACACCCCGTGCCATTTTCATGGCTTGAAGTCTGGTTTGAGGATTTAGGGTTCGAACCCTTAATCTAATTTCTGATCTCAAGCCTCCCAAAAAATACCCTAAATATTGCTCCTCAGGAAGACGACTTACCTATGAAGAGAGGTATTCGAAATCTGCAATATACTCTTCTACTTCTCCTACTTGTTGTAGATCCTTCAATTCTTCGAAGGGATTGTCACAACATTTGCCACCATATCTCTCAATCATGGCTTTCTTTAATTTGAGCCAAGTGAGATCATTCTCAGTTTCTCTCCACAAATTGAACTAGTGGATGGTGGTTCCTTCCATACAAATCTTAGCCAACCTGAGCTTCACCTCCTTCGACAAACCATGCAACTTAAAATACGTTTCAGCCCTAGTGATCCACCCAACCGGGTCACTTCCCTCAAAAGGTGGAAGCTCTACTTTCTTAACAGCCACTTTGAACTCCGAATTAACATCTTTCGACGCCAATGACACACCCTTTGGTGCAAGTTGATTTCGCATCCTAGTGAATTCCTCCATCATCACCATCTGAAACTCTTCCATTCTCAGCCGGAAGGATTCTTCCAACATCGACATCTTTCCTTCCAAAGCATCTACTCTGTCGGACATCCTGGTAGTCATGGACAAGTAGAGATTGCTAGCTCCTCCTCGAAGTATCCGGCGGGTCGGACCAATTGATAGGAAACAACAACAACAATAGAACAGTACAACGAAGAAATAGAAAAAAATGCAGCAATAAGATACTGTAATAGTTTTTGTATTTAATTTGCTATGTAATATGCTATGTGAGTACATTGTAGTATAGCAGGTATAATCCCTAGAACTGTAGCTCCTATTTGTAAATTCTATTCTCCAAAAATGAATGAATCCCCTTCCCCCCTTTCACACCTCCCCTTAATAGTACTATAACTAAATCACATTGGGCTCCTTATCACCTCAGCACCTAATTTCTCTCCCCTTGACCCCACTTTCTTCCTCCTAGTGTAGACTTTCCATCCGGTAGACTTATTCTTAACAAGTCCAGCTCCTATTCCCTCATCAATAACAGCCCAGGCCCATTCCTATCAGTTTCACATAACAATTCGGGTAAAGCATTTCCATGCTAGTCTGCCATGAGATCCTCTTCTCTTTTTTTTAGTGGGAACCTCTTCATCTTTTTAAATCTCTTCTTGCTTCCACTCTATCAAACAACCAACACCCTCTCATTTTACTCTCTTCTCTCCCCTTCTATCTCTGTTGTACCATACGCACTGAAAGTCTCACATGAGATGGAGCCTATTTGGAGTAAATTTCTCCATAAGTAATTTTTGGAGAGAAAAATAAGCAGGAAAAATTAAATGAGTTTCTTCATAAGCTAAAATTAGCTCATGGTCCAAAATAAGATTTATAACTCTTGCATTAGCTAATTTTATCTTATGAAGAAACTGATTGCATTTTTCCTTCTTAGTTTTCTCTAAATATGGGGAAAAATTCTCTGAATATAGCCATGGTATGAGATGCTTGGTGGAGTACTTTACTAGGTTAGTTCTCCCCAATACAGATAGCCTTTAAGAATTGATTTCCTTAGTGCTTGGATACTAATATCAACTGATAACTCATTTTGTTTCACGATCATGATGAAATCTCTAGCTATAATTTAGTTTTTTTTTACTATTAGATTTTGTTCAACCTATAAGCTGTAAATTGTATCAATTATTTTACCATTATCTTACTGACTATTAGCGAAATTATTTCTACATATGTTACATTTGGCATAAGGAGCACAACTTATCCATTTCCTGACTTAATTCTTCAATCTCCTGCCGCTGTAGATTTTGTTTGTATTATTGACCATCCTTTTCTGAAGTATTTAACAAGCATGTTTATAATATCTGTTATGATAGCAGGGTTTTAGCCTAGTACTCGTGCAACACAAGGATAAAGACTTCCTTGTTGCATTTGGGGGATCCAAAAAAGAGCCATCAAATCAGGTTTGACATAAATGCATAAAGTTAGTGTATGAGTTAATTCTTATGGAACTTTTAACCTTTTTATTCTTGATTGTGTTAGGTGGAAGTGTTGATAACAGAAAAAAATGAATCAAGAAGGCAACCAACTTCTACCAAAGGTCAAAGATCTGTTCTACTTGAAAAACATTCATTATCTGCTGGATTGGCTTCTCAACTAAAAAGAGACTCTTCCCAACATTTGATCAACTCTGTTGGTCGACAAAGTCTTGCATCTGCAATTGAACATGGTTTGGAAAGGAAATCTCTGTCTGAAACCCTGCTTGAAAAAGATTCCAATTCCCTCCCTACCAACATCTCCCTTCGCAGGCAATTTGATCATGATGAAGAGTACAATCCAGATGTCAGGATTGACAGGCATTCAGAAGATGAAAGTTTTTTCCCTCGGGTAAACACAAATTCCCATTAATCACAACCATATATGCTTTGATACAAAACTCTTTTTGTTCCCTACCCACCTTCTCAATAGCTCTAAATAGTTACACAAAATGTAATCACCTTCTTTTCTGAATGTGTCTCCCAGCTTCATGGCTGGGTTGGAGACCATGCCACTATGATGCTGTCCTAGGTACTGCCCTTAATTCAGTTGCACGTGGAGAAAATTCATTTTACTATGATTTTTGTTGGAAAGCCACCTAGTTGTGGTCACTCTTGACCACCTTAATTGCAGCCTCTTAGGGCTATATCTTAATTGCTCTTGAGTTCAGAACTATTTATGTGGTGCTAAGTAGCTTATGTTGTTATCTACACTGGGTTTATTTGATGGCATCTATCACTCCTTCCAAACCACCACGTATAAGTGTATTATTTTCAATAGTCCATAACGTCAGAACCATTTATTCCAATCCTGATGCTAAGAATATGGTTGTATTAAGTATCATTAGTAATCATTCCAATCCTGATGCTAACATTATGACAAAATATAATGAAACCTAATACTGTAATTTACTATACACTTCAGGCTGCTGATCATAGAACAAATAAAAATGACCCTGGAAATCACATGAGCTCAAGTGGAGCCAAGACCATCATGGAGGAACAGGTGTCAGTATCTGGAAATTCAAATCAACAAAACCTTGGCTTTGGAAACCCTTTGCTAGAAAGTGATGATGTGTCAAATCAATCGGGATCACTGTCCGCTGCTTCAAGCATCTATCATTATTATGAAACTAAAGTGGCTTCCCTTCTGAGAAAATTTGGCATTCTGGAGGGACAATTGTCAGCTGCATTAGCAAGCAGAGAAGCTGCTGAGAAAAGCTTAGCATCTGCCTTTAAAAGCAGGCAGGAGATGGAGAAAAAATTGGCTGACACACTGAAGGAGATGGAATTGCTGCGAGAGAAACTGGTGAGTGCAGAGTTAGCTCAAGAAGAAGCTAACAACCTATCCAATATGGTCCATGCTGACAATGTAAGGCTTGAGCATGATGTGGCTTTCCTCAAGGCTATTTTAGATGACACTCAAAAGGTATGTAAACCCTTCATTTGATAGAAGTACTTGCATATCTTTAAAAAAGCTTTTTTGACTTAGTAAAATCTTTTAGTAGGAATTGCACTCAACCAGAGGGGTCCTTGCAGCAGAAAGAACCAGGGCATTCCAATTACAGGTATATCCTAGGATTGATTACAAATCTTAACTCTTTGTTGTTGTATATTTTGGTTAACCATATAATTATTGGTTTTGTATGTCCAATTACGATGTTCAAATTGAGGTGCCGTTTGTATTGGAGTTTCTGTGCTATAAAAGTCTTATATATGTTTTCACCGTTGTTTTTAATGATCTTACCATACTTGGATTTCTCTAATACCGTGTTTCTTGGATGCATAGGTTGAAGTTTTCCATCTCAAACAGAGACTTCAATCAATGGAAAATCGAGCCCCTACTCCTAGGAAACCGTTTCACGTATAAGGCTTTGAAAAGCTTATGGGATGCCTATGAACTCCAGCACAAATAATGAGAAAATCCTTCTATATTATGTGGACACAATCTATTAAGGGAAGGGCAATTTGAGGATGGCGTTGAAGACCTCCAAAGAGAAGGAAGCAGAATTGATAGAACTTCCCTTTTGGCTGAGAAAATTGGATCTGTACATATATTTTAACCATTAAGCTTCACCGTTCTTAATATAAAAACTTATTTTAAATGTGGAATGGTGGTCCTTAAAGTGGTGAAGACTTCATTAGTCCTGGTATAGTTAAATCATGATCAAATAAATGATAATTAAATAAGGTGTTACTTTTTTTTGTAATGCTTTGAAGAATAAATTAACGCAAAATTTTAACAAGTTAAATAAATTTAAATTAGCATAAAAAGATAACATTATGTATTCTGTAAAATAGAGTACTAAATAGTAATAAGTTAAACAAAATATCACTTTATCTAAGTTAAACAAAATATCAAGTTCAAACTTTTTTGTCCATTTGTGATTAGTAAAAAAAGATTGAACAAAAATAAACCCATAACATAGTAAGAAGAATGAACATGATTGATTCTTTCTTCCGCATAATTCAATTCAACTTGTCAGTACTTCTAACCAATCATTAAGCATTGCATGCGTGATTAATTTTTTCCTTTTTTCTTGTAACTCTATTTACTGGAACGATTCATTAATAATTAAAATTTTAAAGATACTCAAAATAGATAGGAAAAAGTGAAATGATTAATCCACAAAGTTGGTGACCAAAGAGAAGCAGTTAGTGAAATACATAACCAACATTTAATTTGAATCAACTAAATGAAAGTTTATATTTAATGTCAAAATGGTTAAAAACTAATAATTAATATATTGTTGAATAATGTTTAAAATTGCATATAACCGTCAATCAAAATGAATGACACTCATTATGTTGGTCAGCACAAAAGTTGATTCCAAGAGTAACTCAACAGTGCAAATTACCAAAAAAAAAAAAAAGAACAAGCAACAGCTGCACTAATTGTGGAAGTAACAAGTAGTTCGAGTTGAAAATGTAGAACAGTAGTACATATATTAAGAAGATTTGCTTCAAGAAACAAGGGTTGCAAATGATAAAAAGAACCCCCGTATGCAATTAAATTTGAAGAGATTTTAATGACTCCTTTAAAAAAAAATTGCAATATAAAACCCAACTTATTTTGCCACTCATTTGAACTGTAGCACACACATTTTACTCTTTTAGCTAACTAGACAGCAAAGAATAAAGAGAAAAGCTTACATGGAATGTGACCTTTTCACTTGTGATCAAAACAATTAAAATGGACAGTTGTTTTACAGGGTTACAGAAAGTTAAAGTTGACTGTCTACAGTTTTCACATGACTAACATTTTCCACAAATATATCGTAGCTTTTACAAACATAAAAAGGAAGAAAAAAAACAATAAATTTTACAATGGAGATAACGCTAGCTTCCAGCTGAGACATCTTTAGCCTGATAAAATGGAACTCAACCACCTGGCCAATGTCCAACCATCCTGGACATGAAATTTCACCATCTAATCTATACATTCCATATTTATACAGCCTTAGGGGTTTGAGATGCAACAGTATGAAATTCTTTGTTTTCTGATGTGAACTCTTGCAGTGGTTCAAACCAAAGCCAAGCTTGTAATTGTAGGCCACCAAGGTAATTCTCACCCTACTGTTAATGCTGTCTTAACATTAAACTATTTCCAGGGTACTTTCCTCATCATAACAGACTTCCTTGGGACCCTGATATTCAAAGAAGTTCAGACTCGTCTTGATCTCCATCGGCATCTTCGACATCGTTGTCTTCATCTTCTTCAGGTGCATCAGGATCCACTCCCTACAGAGGATGCAAAATAATAAATTTAACTTCACTCAACTTTTCAACTCTATATATAAATATTACCCTCATCAATTAAATTATAATTTTGGACTCGACCATGCATCTATTTCGGATAACATAATAAGAACAAACCTTCATTTGCTTCTCTAAACGCTCTAAACCCCGTTTTGCTGCTTCATTCTGGGGATTTAACCTGCATTTGAACAAAATGTTAGGAACATAGTAAAATCATTAACCACTGGCATGCATCACATGGATATCCCCAACAGTGAGAATGGAATCAATTGTTAAATGCAAAGAACTTTTAGTACTACATGAAACAGTGGGGAGGAAAGGTTTATTATAATACCAGATTGTTACAGTAAGGAAAATCATATTTGAAACCTATGTCATTAACTAAAAACATAGCATATTGATAAGGTGCAGGAGCACATTGGGCCGCAAGAAATTTTAGCAGATATATCAGCAAAAGGCCCAAAGAAATTGATTGTCTACACTCGAAGGAAGAAGAGGGCAAATTAGGAAGAATGGGTATTGAGAGTTTGTTGGAGGAGAGAGAATGAATGTTTCTTTCTGTTATTACCTTTTTGTTTATATCATCATGAATCAGTGGGGGAGAATATTTTGGCTATGTCTAAGGTAGAGGAAGAGCGTTTCTCTATTCGGAGTTTGACTCTGGGACTTTAGAGGATTTTTTTCTCTAAAAGTAGTTTTCCTTTTTATAATAAATACAAAGTTACCCTGTTTTTTTATCATTTGCTTGCGCGTATTTTACTCTTGAAATTTGTTTCTGTATTATTGGTCTGACCTGCCGGATACGTTAGACCGGTAAATGCCACAAACAAGGAAGCAGGGAAGCCAGAAACCAGCGGAAGAGGATTCTGGAATGGAGAATCGTGTACCATCGTTGGAGAGTGAGCTATCGAAGATTAAAGCCTCCGTTGAGGTTTTGAGGGAACAATCGGAGAAACAGACCACGAAGCAAGACACCATTGCTGCAAATCAAGAGAAATTGCTTGAGCTGTTCACGAAGAGTTTGGGCAAGAATCATCAAGAAGATGGTGAGAATTCTGTGAGAAACGAATCACGAGGGAAGAAATCAAAGGAGGGACCAGAGAAGTCGAGTATTGCAGGGAAGTCACTCGAAGGAGAAGCTCTGGAAGAATTTCGACAATCGATGAAGAAAATCGAGCTTCCTGCATTTACAGGAGAGGATCCAGCAGGATGGATTTCTCGAGCAGAAATCTACTTCCAAGTCCAAAATACGAGTGAGGTGGTGAAGATGAGTTTAGCACAGATTTGTATGGAGAATGGCACCATTCACTTCTTTAATTCTTTGCTGCGAGATTATGATGAGTTGACCTGGGAGGATTTGAAGAAGGAACTACTAGAGAGATATGGCGGAATTGAAGAAGGTACGGTGTTTGAGCAGTTGACTGCTTTACATCAGACGGGAACGGTGGAGGAGTACATTAGCCGCTTTGAGAGTTTGATTGCGCAAGTACCACGATTGTTGGATGGTCAATATTTTGCGTACTTCATGAATGGGCTGAGAGAGGATATTCGTGCTCGTTTGAGAAGCCTGCACATGGCAACACCATTGACGCGTGGTCGTTTGATGAATACGACAAGGGCAATTGAAGCAGAATTTGCACGCGGGTCTAGTGGATGGCAAAGGACTGGTTTTGGATCGGGACAGAGGACCCATGGGAGTAATACAGGTCGTGGGGGCATTAAAAGTGTAATTCCACAAGTAGGAACTAATGGGCCTGGCCCAAATGAAAAAAAAAGGTGGAGAAAGAAATTTTAATGGGTCTCGTGATAGAGGTGCGAAACATTTAGCATACCAGGACTTGTTGGAAAGGCGTAAGAAAGGGTTATGTTTCAAATGTGGGGGTCCCTATGGGCCACTACATCAATGCCCAATTAAGCAGCTCAGTCTCATTCTTGCAAATGATGAGATCCAAGTGGAGTGTGAGGAGGAAAAAGGTTGTGATGACGACGAGAACGAGGATGAATATGTCGTTTTGGAGGGTGAGTGCAGTGTTTTGGCTCTAACAGGTTTGGACACCAACCGAACAGATTTTCCTAGCACGTTGAAACTCAGAGGAACGGTGGATGGCATCCCTATTTTATTGTTGGTTGATAGTGGCGCGACCCATAATTTTCTTTCAAAGAGGTTGGTGGAAGCTCTTGGTTGGGAGTGGGAGTCTACTAAAACGATGAGAATTTTAATGGGGGACGGTCACAAAGCTGAAGCTAGTGGTATGTGTCGAAATATTCAAGTAGAAACAGAGGCTGGGAGTTTCACTATTGATGCCGTTCTTTTTGAATTAGGAGATATTGATGTCGTTTTGGGTATGTCTTGGTTACGTTCTTTGGGGAAAATGAAGATTGATTGGGCCAAGAAAGTGATGAAATTTGAAGAAGGGAGAAATTTAAAGACACTGAAGGGAATTTCTGATGAGGAACCTTTACTTACCTCTCTTCAAGGAATCTTGAATGAAGAGAGTGAACAAAAATTATGTGGGATGGACCTGACAAAACAGTTGGAACTTCAGGAGATTCTAAAGAATTTTGATGATGTTTTTCAAGAGCCAAGAGGACTCCCGCCAATGAGGGTAAAGGAACATGCAATTATATTAAAACCAGGGGAAGCATCAGTTAATGTTAGACCTTACAGGTACCCGTATCATCAGAAAAATGAAATTGAGAGGCAGGTGAAAGAACTATTGGAGAATGGGTGGATAAGGCATAGTCAAAGTGAGTACTCAAGTCTTGTTATCTTGGTTAAGAAGAAAAATAATAAATGGAGGATGTGCGTGGACTATCACGCATTGAACAAAGCAACTATGCCAGATAAATTCCCGATCCTAGTGATAGAAGAACTTTTAAATGAGTTGAATGGGGCAAAATACTTCTCCAAATTGGATCTTCGATCTGGGTATCACCAAGTGGGGATGAAGATTGAAGACATCCCAAAGACAACGTTTAGAACACACGAAGGGCATTATGAGTACTTAGTCATGCCCTTCGGTTTAATGAACGCTCCTGCTACATTTCAATCTCTTATGAATGAGGTATTTCGTGGTTTATTAAGGCGTGGAGTGTTAGTATTTTTTGATGATATACTTGTATATAATGAAAGTTGGGAGGAGCATATGAGAGAACTAAAAGCTGTTTTGGAAATTTTGAGGCAACAACAGCTTTATGCAAATATGGAAAAGTGTAGTTTTGGTCATGAGAGCATTGGTTATCTAGGACATGTTATAACACAGCAAGGGGTGGAGGTGGATCCAGACAAGGTCAAGAGTATTGTTGAATGGCCTATTCCATCAAATGTAAAAGGTGTCCGTGGTTTCTTGGGAATAACAGGTTACTATAGGAAATTTATTAAGCATTATGGAAAGGTGGCGAAACCTTTGACAGAATTAACAAAGAAAGAAGGATTTGGGTGGAATGAAAAGACTCAGGCAGCATTTGAGGAGTTAAAAAAGAGAATTACAACAACACCTGTTTTGACCTTACCTAATTTTGACAAGGAGTTTGAGTTGGAGTGTGACGCATCAGGTATGGGAATTGGAGCTATATTGATGTAGAATCGTAAACCAATAGCTTACTATAGTAAGGCGTTGGGGAGTAAAAATTTAGCTAAGTCTGCCTATGAAAAAGAGCTGATGGCGGTAGCTTTAGCTATTCAACATTGGCGACCATACCTTTTAGGAAGGAAGTTTGTAGTTTATTCAGATCAAAAGAGTCTGAAACAGTTGTTACAACAGAGGGTAACTACTGGAAGTCAACAGAACTGGTTGGCCAAATTATTGGGGTACAATTTTGAAATTATATATAAACCCGGATTGGAAAATAAAGGGGCAGATGCGCTGTCAAGGAGTATGGGAGAGTTGTCTTCAATGGTTTACATGCCTATCTGGTTAGATTGGCAGGAGATAGTCGCTGAAGTTCATGGAGATGAATTGTGGAAGAAAAAAATAGAGGAATTACAACAGGGGCAGTGTGAGAAAAGTGGATTTAATTATAAGCATGGAGTCCTGTGTTATAAGAACAGGTTAGTGGTCCCTAACAAGTCTGATTGGATTCCTAGATTAATCCAAGAGTTCCATGCAACCCCACAGGGTGGGCATTCTGGGTTCTTTCGAACGTATAGACGTGTAGCTGCAAACTTGTTTTGGGTAGGAATGAGAAAAGATATAATGAAATTTGTTCAGGATTGTGATGTGTGTCAACGTCAAAAATATCTTACTTCTGCCCCAGGGGGATTGTTGCAACCACTTCCTATTCCTGAGCGGATATGGGAAGATATATCCCTTGATTTCATTACTGGCTTGCCCAGATCCAAAGGCTACGAAGCTATTTTGGTAGTAGTTGATAGATTATCTAAGTACAGTCATTTCATTCCGTTGAAGCATCCATATACAGCCAGGTCCCTAGCTGAAATCTTTGTGAGGGAAGTGGTGCGTTTGCATGGAATTCCTATGTCTGTTGTCAGTGATAGAGATTCATTATTTATGAGTGTATTTTGGAAAGAGTTTTTCAGGATGCAAGGCACAGTGTTAAAGATGAGTACGGCTTACCATCCACAGACGGATGGTCAAACCGAGGTGACTAACCGTTGCTTAGAAACATACCTCAGGTGCTTCATTTCTGACCAGCCTAAGAGTTGGGTTATGTGGTTACCTTGGGCAGAATATTGGTTCAATACCACTTACCATGAGTCAATTGGTACTACACCATTTGAAGCGGTTTATGGACGTAAGCCTCCAATGTTGGTGCAGAGTGTTCCTGGTGAAATAAGGGTGGAAGCTGTGCAAGAGGATTTACGGGATCGTGATGAGGCAATTAAACAACTAAAGTACCATTTGGAGAGGGCAAGGGATCGGATGAAGAACCTAGCTAATAAGCACAGGAAAGAAAGGAGTTTTGAAGTAGGAGATATGGTCTTTCTCAAACTAAGACCTCATAGGCAGTCATCAGTAGTTGCTAGAATCAACCCTAAGCTTTGTGCCCGTTATTATGGTCCATTTGAGATCTTAGAAAAGATTGGGGAGGTTGCATATCGTTTGAAGTTGCCATCATCATCAAGGATTCACCCAGTTTTTCATGTGTCACTATTGAAGAAGGCACATGGAACTCACTCAGTAGAAGCTGAATTACCTCTCAATTTGGAGGTAGGAGATGGGGAGATGACTGAACCAGAAACTGTGCTAGCTGTGAGGAAGACCTCTAAGGGAGGAAGGAGGGTGACGCAATGGTTGGTGAGTTGGAAGGGAAAATCAAGTGAAGAAGCTACCTGGGAGGATGAGTTGATTCTGAGAAGCCAATTCCCAGAACTGAAGCTTGAGGACAAGCAATTTCTTATAGGGGATGGCATTGATAAGGTGCAGGAGAACATTGGGCCGCAAGAAATTTTAGCAGATATATCATCAAAAGGCCCAAAGAAATTGATTGTCTACACTCGAAGGAAGAAGAGGGCAAATTAGGAAGAATGGGTATTGAGAGTTTGTTGGAGGAGAGAGAATGAATGTTTCTTTCTGTTATTACCTTTTTGTTTATATCATCATGAATCAGTGGGGGAGAATATTTTGGCTATGTCTAAGGTAGAGGAAGAGCGTTTCTCTATTCGGAGTTTGACTCTGGGACTTTAGAGGATTTTTTTCTCTAAAAGTAGTTTTCCTTTTTATAATAAATACAAAGTTACCATGTTTTTTTATCATTTGCTTGCGCGTATTTTACTCTTGAAATTTGTTTCTGTATTACATATACTCTCCTAGTTGCCCGTCAATTGTTAAATTATATTAGGATGTAGAATCCAGATTCAAAAGTTAGGCCAATCTAATCCAACTGATGCCAAATCAAATTCTTCAATAATAACACCTTGAAAGATATTTTTGAAATAGAGATAAACCTTAATGCAGCCTGATAATGTGACAAAGCCTCCTGAAGCATGTTAGTGGCGGCAAAAACTTGTGCAAGTTTTACATGAAGAGAATCATCAGCCCAGTCTTTAAGATATCGCTCGAGTAGAGAAACAGCATCTCCATTTCGACCCTCGATAACATGGAGCTCAGCCAAAGCTAGTGCAGCTCCAAGGTAACCAGGCTCTAGTCTTAGTGCAGACTCATAGAACTTTTTTGCCTATATGAAGAATGCATTATATTTCCCACGTAAGAAAACAAAGTACAGATCGTAGTCTATAGATACTAATTTTAAAAAGCTGACAAGATACCTTTTCTCTGCCACCAGAATTACTGGCATGCACATCACCAACTAACTTTAAAGCCTTTGCTGACTGAGGCATTGCTTTCATTGCTTCTCTTGAGGCATATAAAGCCTCTTTGATTTTAGAAAGAGCCAAATATGTATGAACCAAACCTGAAATATTCGGATTAATGTCCAAAAATCTGTAAATTTCTAAAATTTTTAATTTCTATCATCAGTACTTTAAAGTGCATATTGACACCAGTGTACATGATGATAGGTGCAGGAAAGAGAAGTAATTCACGCAGCAATATATTTTTCCAAGTATAAAATAAACCTTGATATGAACGAATATCCGGTCTCAATTCTTGAGCTGCTCTGAAGGCAGGCACAGCTGCTTCTGCCCGTTTCATCGTCAACAATAAAGTTCCCTTAATAAACTCAGCATGTTAGGAAAGGCTTATGTCATCATCCTCTAAACATATAGAATAAAAAAGACCCCCATGTAGCATGGGCCATGCCCTATATGCAAAACCATATTATTACCTTCATTATATACCCTGGTATGTGCCTCTCATCGATCCGAATACTCTGATTGCAAAATAATTAGTCAATTGAAAGCAATTTTAGAATAGATAAAATGCAGTCTAATCTGCATCAATGTAAAAACACAGACCTGCTCAGCATATTGTAATGACTTTTTCTCATCTTTCCTTTCCCATAAAACAGATAGAGCTACAAAAACCTCTGGTCTTGCAGGATCAATATTCAATAAATCATGTACCAACTTGTTCATCTTTAGATAATCAGACTTTAGCTTTAGAAGCATTGCATACTCATCCATATATGTTATGATGTATGGATCAATTGACCGGGCCTGTGCACCAAATTATCGATATAATTATAAGCTCCATAAACACATGTAAATAAACAATATAATTATAGATAAATGTATTAACATAATAAGGTACAATTCTGTATTACCTTTTCAAAATTCATAATAGCCTCTTCATTCTTTCCAATAATAGCTTCAATCTTCATTCACAATATACATTAATTGAGACATTAAGCGATCAATTCAAGGAAACTTCATGTAAAGTAGGGAAATGCTGCAATTCTCTTAACAGGGGTTTTGGTTATTAAACAAATTCAGGCAGTTAACTCAGGAAAAGTATCAATTGTCAGTAAAAAATTTATATCCTCTAAACTTCTCACTTCAGATGGAAAAGTAAAAAATCTTAATCATCAATGAAAAATATTAATGAACATACACAAGCATAACAAATCATAGATTTGATGAAATATACTCTATTAATTTTTTCATTAAGGGTTGAGCCATTTTACTTTCATCACAAAAGGGAACTACTTGCTTTAGAGGAACTAAATCCATCTACCAAATACTATAGAAAGCAAACCTTTCCTGCAAAGGGAAAACCTAGAAATAGGTGCAACATCAGCCTGGTCAAAAGGTCATATTACACTAATTATAAATCATTGCAGCAAGCCTAACCTTTGCCATCTCAAGTAGTAAGTGTGTATTATTAGGGAAACGCTGTAAAAGATCTGCAAAGAGCTCCAATCCACCTGCCAAAATTTGAAACAAAATAAAACTGGTTGTGTCAGTGTTTTAAACACGCATCACTGACACTGACAAAAGTAGAAACAACAAAGTACATGCAAAAAATAAATATTGTTTTCTCATTAAAATCTTGTCAAAGTTTGATAAAAAAAAACAAGAGGACAAGAAGTTAATGCAGTGCCAGATAAATAATTTACAATAGACTTTATCATTTTTGTAAATCTTATGTGGGAAATTGGCCACAGGGATATGCCCGTAAAACTCATGACTTGAAATTCTTCAGCTCCAAGCATCCAACACAAGCATGAAATCAATAATTAAATGACTCCATATAAAATACAACATCTCACCCTTGTAATCATTTGAAGCCATGCAACATTGAGCTTCAACATAGCGCTGCAAATAAAAGAGGAAAAATTAAAGAGTAACTGCAAGTTCCCACAATTTGTTCACCCGTATACGAAAACAATCCATGAGACAGAGGATGCCAAATTTAAAAGAAATTCAACCAAAATCAAGAACAGGGTAATTTTTCAAGTTTCCATGCCTATATTTATAGTCATTATATTTGGGAAATCAAATCATGAGATATAGAATACGCTCTTCCTTGACAGTTTTGGTGTAGGCTAATAATCTTTAGTATCTTACAGGTCAAAAGAAAAGAACATGGACAGACGAAATTTATAATTAAAAAAAAAAAAAGGTTGGACTTTATTAACTAACCCTCAAGCCTCAGCAGATACTATTTTGAACCAGGCAATTTGTAGGGAAATTAAATCAAAATTAACTAAAGATAAAACTATTGATCACCAGGTTATAGAGTTTTCGCTTCCATGTTAAGAGCCAACTTTCCCAAAAGTTAGGTAGGGCTCACAATAACTTTTATCACAAAGAATATATTATAAGGGAAGAAAGAAAAATAGCAATTAAAAAGCATACTCCTTCCCCAAATAGTTATCATGAATAGAAAACCCAAAACATCATCCTGTAGCAAAAAATGACTCGGTATCTGGCAAGACAGTTGCTGAATATATGTAAAATCCATTTGAAATAACTGGAATTTACATTACAACCGATTGTTACATTGAGATATGAATACCAACTACACAAGCTCAATATACTCTAGATATATGACCAAACCATCAAAATAGTCTTGTAAATACCAATCTTTGTTTATTCATTCTTAAGACTAGCAGTCCTCTTTAGTTGCTTCTCAAGGATGCAATGTAACACAGATACGGTGTAGGTTAACAATGATGCATCTATAGAGGCTTAACCTAAAAGGAAAATCACTAAAGTGATAAATGGTAGCAAGTACATTACAGCACATAAACAAACAAGGATTTTAGTACTATGTATAACTTACTTGAAGCCAACGACCTGAATCAGTGTGATCAAATGGAGCCCTAGCACTTCTATTTGGAGTCTGAAAGTAAATTTTTGAACACCAATTAGATTATAGATTCTGGAAGGATATTTAAATTACAATTAAACTGCAGTTTCGCAAATTGTTCTACTAAAAAAGCTTAAAATCGTTTCATGATAAAGGTAATCATTTATTGATAAATCTACTGCAATTAAATATACAGAAGAAATGTCACGTTGCTAGCCAAGGTATTCTTATGGTCCTGATAACCAAGTACTTAGCTTCTAGAAACTCCATGCATAGAATTATCACACTATACAGAAAAGTTATCAGGCCACAAAACAAACTATTCCAGTTGAGGTTAAAGCACATATTGAAATAGAAGAAAAATAGAACACGGGACATGGACAAATTTAGGTTAACAGTTGTGCCATCCTCTTTCTACTTAATAAATCTAATTAATAAAAGGAAAGAAACCAAAACCCATCTAAGGAGAGTGATTTCGTTAACCCAGAGGGCTGAGTCTTATAAATACCCCATTATCGTTACTCAACAATATAAAACAACACATCAGCCTCCAGGTAAAGTTTATACTTATTGCTGAGTACCTAATTGCCTAAAGAAGAAAAATAAATGACATAACATACACAATCCCACTGCAAATCAAAGGATCATCTTGAAGGTAATCAATGGCTGAATCTCTATTTAGTTTTCGTCAAACAAATGTCTTTCAGTTTGTTATCAATGAACCTGAGGAAACAATGAAATGATGTCCTTTGCAGTAGATCCCAGTTCTGCTAAAGCTGTGATAGCCTCAAGTAGATAAGGACAATGCCTGACAAAAAGATATCAAAAAAAATTTCATCTTATGCAAATTAATAAATAAAAAATATAGATCATATGAAATATGCAAATGCTGAAGGTCAACATGCAATGAAGTTGCAACAAATCAATAGAAAATGATAAATACATCAATAAAATCTTTCAAATATTCCTATCGGTGTCATATCAAAGGTTTAACCAGTGTATGAGATGTTTACAAACCTTATACATTCTTTGTAAATAGCAACAGCAGCTCGGCTATGCCTAGATATTCGATATAGTTTCCCTAATAGCAAATTCATCGGCAAATTTCTAGCTTTGCTTGGAATTCCTTCCATCTGTAATGAGAAAGTGGCATAGATAACTCGTAAGGAATGACAAAATTCAAAACAAACGACGAATGTAATACAAAAATTCGTAACATTTGTTTCCAATTAAGAAAACTCCACATAACTAACAAAATATGCAGAACATAGCCATTTAAGGCTTGTTGTCTCCATCGTTAATCTCTCCATAAACAGAGAATTGGCTTTCTTTCACTTTATACCAACAGGAATTTTTAATTTAAAAAAAAAAAAAAAAACAATGCACTCTCATGAGTGTGTTCTGTAGAAAGTAGAGAAGTGAACAAACAAACCTCCACTAGAGCTGCTTTATTCTCATTCAGAAAACAGTGAGATGATGCAATTTTGAACTTCACCTATCAAAGGCATCAAAAAGAAAAAAGCTTCATAAAAACCTGGACTTGCAAAACCTTAAAAGTTAAAGGCACATCAAGTCAACTCCAGATATCATGAAAGAAAGAAACACTAACACCAGTTTACCTCATTCTCATTAATCACTGATCCATTGCAAGAATTTGGAGACGAAGATCGGTTTGACGACAATGAACTTCGAGAAGATGTCGTGTTCTGTTTTGGAATCATCTTGTAGTATTGCAAAGCTTGTTTATAGGTATGCTGCTCATCAACAGAAGAAATAAATCAAAAATAATAAGAGGAAGACTTCACCTCCCCAAAAACGACAACTTTTGAATTACCCATTTAACAAGAGCTTTAAAATAACATAATCACAAAATAAGCAATTGTTTCCAACTGCATAAGCAAAAGGGAGAAAGAGATAGCACAGTCTCTTACAATGGCTCTACGATACTCCCTTTCACGAAAGAAACAATCACCAAGTAGCACCTACACAAATTAATAAATAATTAAATAACCAACACAAAAACTTCAATGAGCTCCTCAGAGATTAAAAATTACAAAACATGAAAATTATTTTTCTTTTAAAATGAAAATTTGCAGAGACCAAGCTCTCAGTTTTGAGGTGTGGGGCAGATTCAGCATTTGCAGCAGGTGAAGAAACGAGAAAACAACCCTGTTCAACGCAGAAACTTCAGATTAGAACTTCGACCCAGGAATCAAAAAATAAAAGAAGCAACCATTTTATGTACGGAATCAAAATTTCAAATGCGATTTGCTAGGGAAATAACAAAAATAAATAAATTACGAGTATCTGAGCGGAGTTGTAGATGCCGTGTTCGAGAAGAGTGGCGATTTGATCCTTCGGAACTTCCATGGTTACTTTATATGTGCGCTTCAACGCGCTCTAAGCTCTTCTATTTGAAATCTTCAGTCTCTTCTCAAAGGGCTTCAACCTGATTCAATGCAAACAGTAACAAACTTAGAGGTTTTTGTATCTCTCACTATATATACACAAAAAAAATAATCGTTATTCGGAATGTATTTTTTAATTCAGAATTTTTTTATTTCAAATATATTTGAAATGAGATTTGATCAATATCAACCTAACATTTCCAAGACTACGTAGAATTTTTCAATTAGGGGAAATTTAGCCAGAAAGGCACATGTTTTTTAATATTTTTAAAATAAAAAATCAACTTAAAATAAAATGTTGTCAACAAAACAAAATAATTGTATAATAAAATATTATCTCCTTTTAAAGAATAAGTCTTGACAGAATATTCTTTTGTTTATTGAAAAAAAAATTGTATAATCAATACTTGCATAAATTTAGTAAAAACAACAAGTGTCATATCCTCTTCTTCTATATTCTGGCCTAAATACTTCTATAAATTTAAAATGATTATTAGCTAAATATGTTACATTCTAAAAAAATTCAAATAAATGTGTTTATAATTTTGAACCAAACACAAACACTCACACTTTAATTATATATTAAATTTTTAACCAAATTTTATAATATAATTCATTATAACAATGTTTAGCTTCATGCATGTGAAACAAGTTATACATTGAAAAATGTTTAAAAGAATTAGTGGCTAGATGAAATGTTAAACTTATTTACCTTCAAACAAATTGATTTAATAAGTCTAAAATATGTATACATATCAATAATATTAATATAGTTATTTAGTTTAAATATAGTTTTTTGCTCTTATATATGTATTAGGTTTAGTTTTTGTTCCTTGTTAATTTTTTATTTATTTAACTGGTCTTTCAAAAAATTATTTTATTTTAGTTTTCTTCATCTTGTTTTTATTTTCTTCATTTTTTTTACTTCTTATAACATTTCTTTTATTTTTAATTTGTTTGTTAAAATTACAACATCTAAAAATAATACAAAAAATATACAAAACTATTGTATATTATATAAAATAAAAATATATTTAAGTCTTCTATCAATCACAAATTTAAGTTAGAACCGCAGGGAAAGTTATCTCAACTCTAATAAATATTATATAATATCGATTTGATACAATAATTTTCTAAACTACTTTATAATTCTTTCATTAAAAGGTTGCATGTACTTAGATTTTTTTTTTGAAACAAAAAAAGATGAATCACATTTGTAATATGCAAGTTAAAAAAATAATTTGAAACTTTACAATTATGTAAATTACGCAATGACATCAATATTTCTTTTAAATTTATGAGGATTATTATTTATGGACCAAAATGCCGCATATAATTAGGTATGCTATCAAACTAGTTATTTTTATAAATTAAAAAAGAAATAATAGCGAAATGACATGCATTATCACCATGTGTCTATATATTTTTTATAAAATTAATTCATTTTAATAAGCTAAAATTAAATATTTATCTTATTTTAATATATAATGTAGTAAGAAAACATTGAGAGATGTGAATTTGATTTGCTGAATTAAGTATTATCATTGAGAGATGAGAATTATTATATTTTTCTTTAAGTTGTTATTATCATAATTTTCTTAATTTTGTTAATTAGGTATTATTTTAATTGGTAAATATATTGAGTTTGTAACACGTGTGGCCTTATCCAATCCAATTGATATTATAGAATTTTGCATTACTTGACTTGAGTTGAGACTATGTTCAGTTTCGAAAGGTTCTGCGGAAATGGCTTCTTCTATCTCTGCGTGCTTCACACCCCAATCCTTCGCTCGTCGCAATGGCAATCGCAGCAAAATTCGAAACCCTAAATTTCAGAAACCAATAGTTCCCGGCGGCGAAGCCACCACCTACACTCGTCTTCCGCTCAAGCACGACTATTCCTCTCCTTCCCCTCTCTCCCCTCCCGAAATTAAGCTCTCCGAATCGGCCCTACCCATCGAGCACATCCTCCGTAGTCGCAAACCACGAACTCAGCGACAAGAAGACGTCGTTTTCGAAGGCAATGCCGATTTTGAACCTGAAAGCGACGACGAGGACGAAGCCTTCGAGTACTCGGGAGACGAGAATGTGGAGGAAGAGACTGCGGGCTTGAAGGAGAAGGGGGTGCCGGCGGTGATGCGGTGTTTCGACCGGGCGAAGATATACGTGAAGGCGGGGGACGGCGGGAACGGCGTGGTGGCGTTTCGGCGGGAGAAGTACGTGCCGTTGGGGGGACCGTCGGGGGGTGACGGCGGGAGGGGCGGCGAAGTGTACGTGGAAGTGGACGGGGCGATGAACTCGCTGCTGCCGTTTCGGAACAGCGTGCATTTCCGGGCAGGGAGGGGGTCCCACGGGCAGGGGAGCATGCAGAGTGGGGCAAAGGGGGAGGATGTGGTGGTGAAGGTGCCGCCTGGAACCTTGATTCGGATGAGTGGAGGAGATGATGTGTTGTTGGAGATGGTGTATCCGGGACAGAAAGCTTTGGTTTTGCCGGGTGGTAGAGGGGGTAGAGGAAATGCTTCATTCAAGTCCGGGACTAATAAGGTCCCCAAGATTGCAGAGTATGGGGAAGAGGGCCATGAAATGTGAGTTCTTTTACTCTACACAGCTAGGACCGTTTAGTTTTCTGAAACTGACAACATAAGACAATTCTGCTCGATTATAATAGAATGACAACAAATCTATCCATGTATATATTTAACATAGATACATGCCAAGAGTGGAGTTCCATGTGCTTAGTGGTGGTTGAGAAATTGTTTTTTGTATTCATTTTATGTTTTTGCAAAACAAGAAATGAAATGAAAATGTGTTAGCAAATTGTCATATTTGTAATTAAAAATGAAAACAGAAACCATTGTTTAAAAGCAAAGGGTTATCTACATATGAAGGGTGCAATTTGTTTTGGTGACACGAGCTACCATTTGGGTGTTGCATTTAGAAAGAGAGAACAAGTTTGTTGGAATCGTATGAGAGTTATATTAGAATGATGGTTTCTTTTGATCAGGTGGTTGGAGTTAGAACTCAAGCTCGTTGCGGATGTTGGTATAGTTGGTGCTCCGAATGCGGGGAAAAGTACACTTTTGAGTGTTGTTAGTGCTGCAAAGCCGGAGGTGGCTAATTATCCCTTTACTACACTGCTTCCGAATCTCGGTGTTGTTTCCTTTGACTATGATTCAACCATGGTAGTTGCAGACCTTCCAGGTCTTCTTGAAGGTGCACACCGAGGTTTTGGTTTAGGCCACGAGTTTTTACGCCACACTGAGAGGTGTTCTGCCCTGGTAGGCACTTTTGAGTCGAGATGCTTTGTTATGATTTATATAGGTTGACATAGCTATATTTCGGAATATTTTTTTCTGGTAGAGCTGTGTTCAATTTTAGAGTTACCACACTGCTTCTAGGGGTTCAGAAAACAACAACGGGAGTAGATTATAAGTATTTTCTTTACTTTTTTTTTTCCTCTCTAAAAATTGATACATCATTGTTTTTTGGTCTGTTTCTCAACTTTGTCACCCGGGAAACTTCTGTTTAATTCAAGCCTACATATCATTGGTTTCAGGTACACGTTGTTGATGGTTCGTCACTGCAGCCAGATCTTGAGTTTGATGCAGTTCGTCTAGAGCTGAAGCTATTTAATCCTGAACTTGCTGAGAAGCCTTATGTAGTTGCATTTAACAAAATGGATCTTCCAGAAGCATATGAAAACTGGAAATCATTCAAAGAAACTTTGCAATCTCGTGGGATCACACCTTTTTGTATGAGTGCTGTCACAAGGGAAGGTACTCGTGAAGTTATCTCTGCAGCGTATGAGCTTCTGCGTAGAAGTAAAGAAGAGAAGGAGGAATATGAAGGTTATAATTTGTTTTAAACTTATTCTATGTATTATTGTCAAATCACCTGAACACTCTTTTTTCTCTAATAAGTTCTTTGCATATGGACAAATTTCACCTGTTTCAGATGGAAAAGATATGGTAAATTTGAATCATGTAGCTGAGGCAGTACAGAGGCAGCGGAATGCATCCATCAGTGATTTTGAGATTTTTCATGAGAGTGATTCCAATATTTGGCATGTAGTTGGATCTGGATTGCAACGATTTATTCAGATGACAAATTGGCGGTAGGTTAAAGAGTAAAAATGTGATCAGGACATGAGTATAGTTCCTTAATATTTTTTTTATCACCAATTTGTTATTTTTCTTACATCTTAAACACACACACACACACACACAGATATATATATATATATATATATATATATATATATATATATATATATATATATATATATATATTTGTTTGCAAAACCATTTATGGTCACTGTTATGAAGCTTATTGCATAGATTTTCTTGTTTTATATGAAAATGTTAAAACAAACAAAAATACTCTTACAATAATCATAGGAAACATTATGGAAGGACCTTTTTTGAAGAGTGTGAAAAAATAAGATTTGAAAATCCATCCTTCTCTTAACTGATTCTTGATGTGTTAGAAAAAATGTGTATTAGGACAAGCATTATGCCTGAAATTGTTACACCTGTATATGTGTAGTTTCATTGAGATTTGTGGATCTTTTAACAGGTACATTGACTCGGATAGAAGATTCCAACATGTTCTTGAGGCTTGTGGTGTGTACAAGTCTCTCATGAAACTTGGTGTAAAGGAAGGGGACACAGTAGTTGTTGGAGAGGTGTGTCTTTTGTTTCTCTTAAACATTTGATAACACAATGAACAATGATGTTAAAGTATTGTTTAATAAATGAAATTTAGTTGTCCTTAATGTTGAACATTATGATCCTATTTCCTATGACAAAAAATAACCTGGAAACATATGGCAGCTGGAAAAAATTCAATTTATCCTTGCGCAGGTCTACACGAAGCTTTTCCACAATCTTTTGTGCATTTCCATATTATGCATCCCCAATGACCATTTATTCTGCTACTTATCAGATGAAGATGATATGGCATGACTCCTCTGACAATTCTGGTGCGGCTAGGATGAAGAAATTATCTTCTGATTCATTTAAATGGGCTGAATGGAAGTAATGTCACTCAATTGTGGTGATTATATATTCATGTGTACTGCAAGTATGCCATAGGTAAAGAGAACAATGTTGTTGCAATGGTCTTATAAATTCATCCATGCTATCCCTGAGAAACTTACCATTGTTTCCCGTGTATATTTTTTTCCTGGTTTTTGCATATGGACACCTATAACAGACAAACGGAGAGGTGACAAGCTTTGGTTCTTTAACCTTTCCTCGATAAGGATATCATCATATTTTCATTTTTATTTATTTGTGTGTATTTCAGATATAATCATCAACACTATTGTTGTAATAGTTTATTTGACAATATTTTCAAACTTTGTATTTTATTCTTTTGTGATTTTGTGAAATCATCAATTAGGGCATCATCCATCGTGAAATTATGTTTACTGCTCTTTAATGATCAGTTGTTCATGTAGGAAGCAAATTCAATCATAAGGAGGTGATATAGAAGAGGATAGAAGTCATGAAAAGCTGCATCAAAAGCATAAACGTAAAGCAAACTATTACATGCTTGTCCGGTGATGGTATGATGCCAGGTGAATTTACGATTTCAAGTTTCTTATATTTAACTTGAGGGAGGTCTTCATCAACTGCTCCCGAGCTATGAGTAAGGTAAGAAACAGTCGCTGTGGAGCACATTTGACATTGTTTGTTTGCTTAAATTGGTTTAGAACAGATAACTAACAAACTGGACAGAATGTGATTGCTCATGTAATTTTATGATGGTGTGCTATAAATTATTTTGTAGGATGTAAAATGCCTAACATGATTACATCCTCATTCTTGACAGACTGCTTTCACGTGGTTTGGATATGTCGATGAAATTAAAGTGAACAGTCAAATTTCAAGTTTCACTTGAAGTCACCATATAAGCTACTGGTTTGAGATCGTTATATTTTATCTCTAACGTGTTTGTAGCTCGGTTTACTGGCTTGTTTAACTATAATATGCTCGATAGACGATCCTGTCTCTATAAAGAAGAAAGATGTTAATGGGGCATGACATGCTCCTCATCTTTTCTTTACTGCATCAGAGTGTTAGCCAATTTCCTTCCCTTAATAATCAACGTCTTTAATATGGTTAGGCCATGTTTGCTTGGTTAGTCTAATATCATTTGTCAGAAACCACCCTTACATGTGTACTAAGTTTAAGGGTTTTATATATATAATTTATGGCCACCTTACTCTTTTGAAACAATTACATTGGTATCTTAATTCCTGATGTGAGATGGTAGTGTTTTTATTTTGATTTTGCTGTCTCTTGTTGGTCTGTTATGGTTTGATCTTCCTGACTACTGTGGTTTGTAAACCCAAAGACGGAACTATATTCGTATCCTTATCAAAAAGAAAAAATTGAAATCAAATTCTTCATAAGTTATAATTAACTTATTTTTAAATTAAAAAACAATTATAGAGAAATTATATAAGATATTATACAAATATTTTCATCAAAAAGAAAAAATTAAAATGAAACTCGTTTCATAAAATTAACTTATTCATAAATTAAAAAATAATTCTAAAATTATCTAAGAGATTATCTAAAGAGTTTTTAGAAATTAACTAGTATATAGTTAATTTTAATTTATAATTTTTTAATTTTTAAAAATTTGTATAGATAAATTTGTTTGAAAATCATACTTTTAATATAATACATTGTTTATCATATTTTTATGATTGTTCTAGGATTACTATAAGACTTATGATTCAATGACAATGAGAGTAAGAATAACTCTTTAAAGTATTTTTATTCAAAAATAATTAAAAAAAAAATCATTCAAGAAGTTTCTGAAATTTCTCTTTCAAGAACAATTACAAATTTATATAAATGTTTTTAATATATAAGCTATATTATAGTTACAAATTTATAATAAATAAAAATATATAAAATGTCCAATTATCATAAAAGATATTTTAACTATAGTTTTTTAAAATATTTAAATTTAATTTAGAGATAGAAATAAGAGAAAGAGTACATTAAAATAATTAGACCGTCAATTATAAAAATGATAATTTGATATTTTTGGCAGGTATAATTGTTAAATAGAGCGATATTTTGACAACTGCCCTTTTAACAATTAAAAAATTAATATAATATTAAATAATATTATCATGGGTGAAAGTATGGGTTATAAAAAAAAAATCATTTCTCTTTTTTTGTAGTTTAATCTGAATTTTATTTATTTGTTACGAAGTGAAGGGAAAAAAAATTAGGGAAGCAGAACATCTTCTTGCAATATCAAATGCAAAAAACTGTAGGGTGACTTTGAGGAACAACTAAAGTATAACCTCTCTTAGCATACACATAATATCTTTTGAAAACTCTTATTTATTTATAGGTCCTTCAATTCTTCACACGTCAAAAAGTCTACCTTTTACTTAGGTAAATAATTTATATTCTTTTTTTTTCACTTAATTAAAACACCTTTATTAAGGATTAAATGCGATGGAGTAAGTTCGTATCAAAATGAGCTTTACTTTTTGAAGTTTGCACTACACTTATTTTTTAGTATCTGATATATCAAAAAAGTCTCGTTGGTAATTAAAACCAATAATTTTCGTTGAGACGTCATATAATCAACAGACTTATGATAAAATTATTGAAAATCAAAGGACAAAAGATAAAACTTGATCGAAAATCATTTAAGTTCTCTCACAAGCAAGAGATCCGAAATATTTATATTTCTAATCAGTTAAAATCATAATTCTGATTTAATTAGTCAATATTTATTTTCAATATGATGTCATCTGAACGTATTTTGTGGTGGTCACGATTCACGAACGCGGAACGAACAAATCACCACGGCACATAATTAAGTAAATAAAGTGAAAAAAAGAAGAAGCAATAAGAGTTTAAAAAGCAAAAAAAGAGCAGATTGTGTCGTGAACTTTGGTTGCAAAGTGAGAGGATGCAACACAAGTGTGTATATGAACAGATAGAAGCTGAAGCTGCTAAAGCAGAACATGAGACAAGTTTGAACCAAAAGTTGCTCACTATAACATTTCTCACTTAAACTCCATTTCTCTATTTTTCGTCAAAGTCCAACCAAACATACTTATCTTTATCCCTAAATGCCGGATCACCTTTAACGACAACAAAAAAAAGTATGAGTAATTATTTTTGGAGAATGTGCAGAATTCTCTTCTGACATTGAAGGTCTTCTTCATATTTTACACAAACATGTGTTACTTTAACTATAATATTAACATACTATAAAAAAACTAGAGACAACAATAACCTAAGTAAGTGAAGTAACACACATTAAGTTATCTAAAACGAGGAAAATATGTAATCCCAAAACACTTAAAATACAAAAGGAAAACAAAAAGTGAGAAAAATAGAGAGCGAAAGCTATCTTTTGTGCTTACTTTTACTATTTTGAAGAAAACCAATCTGTTTTAGGGATATGTAGAGTACCTTATAAAAAATGCATCATTTGCCAACCCAACTAAAACACATCTTTTGAGATGTCCCCTGACTAACCTTTCTTCTTACCAAATGGTAAGTTCCAAGACTTTACATAAGAATCCAATCATCATATTATATATATATATATATATATATATATATATATATATATATATATATATATATATATATATATATATATATACATACATATTGGAAAAAGAAAGGTCATCGGTCATCTTGACTATTAATCTATAATAATTATAGTTTGTATGTTCAAAATTAGTGCCTCTCAAAAATTATGTTCTTACCAAATCAACACCTTATATGTGTTGTGTCTATGCAGAAAAGTATATATTCTGTCATAATGCCACTCATAATTAAACTGGTTTTTCTCTTCCCATGCATTGAATTACAACACAACTAAGGCTATATAGTGAATAGTATATGGCTAAAAGAAAGTTCTTGCTTTTTCTTTATTTTTGGATTTATGTATGTCCATATTTTTCGCTTGTCTTGGTACAGGAAGAGCATTAATACTAATAATATCTCACCTTCAACAATGGGGACCCAAATGAAGCTAACATATTTGTATCTTTCGGCTGCTGGAAATCTTTAGTGGAAGAGTCAAGGTTCTTAGAGTCAAAACCCAAATGATTTCTTAATCAAACAACTGTAATTGAGCCGTTTGTGATCTCTTTCATTTGGGTCTCCTGTTTGAATGCTTTTCACTTGCACTGTTTACAAAAATTTAGTGGGATCACTGCAAGTTTAATTGAGCCAACATGGTGTTACTGATGACAAAGCATTGTGTGGCACTGGGAAAAATGTTGAAAACAACAAAACGGCTTGACCCTTTTGATATGATTAGTGGCATGCTATTTCCAATGCCACATAGAATGATTTTGCAGGCTTAATTAATTAAAGAGAGTAAAATTATACTTCAACAAGAGCTGTGAATCAATAAAATGGTGGCCCACTATAGCTTTTGTCTTGTGGGGCGGTTTAGTCAACTTCAATTTGCATGCTTCGTTTAAGCTTTTCGTTGCCCTTTTTGACTACCCCTTTTTCTATTGGCTTTTGGAGATCAGTACTCATGTCTCTCATTATCAGACTTTATTGAAAATTGATCAAAGGCAATTTGCAGAGTACATGTGTATGCAGTGTTTTATTAGTATCTATTTTGTGCCCTTAAACACTCTCTGCAGGTACATTCATGCTGCTGTTTAATTCTACATAGCCAAGGTTTATATTTTGTCACAATTCTTGATATGGTGAGAAACTATGAGTGAACCACCATTTTATTATTTGAAAGTGTAAAACATTGTTAAACTAGTCCCTGAAACTAATCAAATTTCAAATAAGTCCATGAAAGTGCAAAATCACAACATTACTTATTATGTAGTAATATTAATATATATTGAGATATCAGAAGGACAGTAAGTGGTAGAAATTAGGGACATAAATGAAAAACTTACAATTTCATAAATTTTTATTTGAATTTTTCTTGTTTTCAAGGACTAATATGACATTAATATATACTTCCACAAATCAAAACGGTGGGGTTAGTTGAAAAACATTCTAGAATGAAAAAAATCTGAATAGTGCTTGAGTGATCCAAAACACATACATAGGAATAAAGTTTTAAATGAAACTGTACTCTGCTAGAAACTACACTTGTTTTTGGCTGGAAAGAAGCATTTACAAGAAAATCTGATATATTATAATTGAGTGGTTTCGGTTTTTTGACACTCATTCCTGTGCTAACTTTAACTTCATTATTGAGGCATGTGAACTACTACCATCAGTTCTGCCTAAGATATATATATATATATATATATATATATATATATAAACCATTTATGATACATCAGTATTGAAAATTCTACCATTGAAAGGCGAACTAACAAACAAAATTAAGAATTTAACATGTGGGCCTTTTCATAAGACAACCTTTTGTATTTGTGTATTCTAGAGTGGCGTTGGTTCAATGACACAATACAGGGAAGACACAAAATATCAAATTATTGAATAATTTTCATCCTGGTCAGATAATTTTAACTACTCCCTTTGAAAACTATGAAGCAAACAAGAGTTTGCTATGCAATTGGTTGATTATTCTGCCTAAAAAGGTTTCACATGTGTATATTACATGCAGCTGGTGAACAGCATGGTAAGATATAGCGACTCAAATTCAAAGATTGGAGACTCCATATGCAGACAAATAATGCAGCTGCTTTCATTTTCTGTTCTGCCCTGGAATGTCAGTCACCCAGTAAAGTTCTTCATAAATGCCACGTGCTGAAGCATATAGTTGAAGATCTTATGATAGATTTCTTTTGTAGTTTATACATATATAACAAATAACTATAGTAGTTATAGGGTCAATCCTTTTTCTTCCGAGGTGTGTGTATTAGTTTTTCAATATTGTCTCTGGTGCTGAAAAGAACAAAAAAAGGAGTAAATCATCAATTTCATTCTAAAATTATTTCATTTTATCTTTAGTAATCCTAAAGTAAAAAATACTACTTAAATAATCATCAAAGTATTGAAAATCATGTTAAGTAATCCTCTAATTAATAAAAACCCTCCACATGGGTCCTTGAACTATACTGCAATACTTCAACTTAGGAAGTAAAATAATGAATATTCCATACTTCAGAGATAGTTTCAATACTTTAAAGACTAATTGGGAGAGAATAATACTTTTGGGGGAAATGGAGGTTCATTCAACATAATAGAGTTTAGCTGGTAGAATTTTCATGATTAGCTTGGCCTTTACACATGAACTGATATATATAAGGATTCAATTGTGCCAATGATAATCAAATACCAATAGACCAGATGCAATAATTGGCTCACTAAGCTTTACATTGTTCACCTAGTTCGAAAACTAAGGTAGATCTATTTTTTAACTTACCATGGTAAATCGGTTATTATGCTTGTTACTGAGATACAGCAAACACTCTTAAATATCATTGGAACGATGAAGAAAATGATAGTTGCAAAGGGGAAGAAAACCCAAATTGCAGTTTGTAGAGCTCCACTTAAAGTATTTGACAAGTGAAGGGGATCTTTATTTTCACCATTCAGTTTAACCATGAAGTATACTAGATGATGGGATGGAGAGCAAGAGATTTAAACGAAACTTGCATCAGTCCCGTGCAAAACCACAGTAAAAGAGAAAACCAACATTTATGATAATAACGAAAATGTCATTGGTTGAAAAGGAAAAAAAAGTTGATTAAAAATTGACATGTGACAGAAATTTGGACAGATTTATGATATACTGAGATAATAACAAGATTTTATAAGTAGGTGAAAAGGGGAAAACGGTTTGCATAAAAATGACATATGCAAAATCTCCTTTTCCTTCTCCCATGATGAAGTCACTGTCTTTAAAAGACTTGGCACTACTCCGCCCTTTTCATTCACATTCTCTTGTTTGCTTCCTTGAGACACTATTTAACTTCACTTCCCCTCACCAAACACATATTTTCTTGCCATTTTCCAAGCCATGTCTACCTCTAGAACCTCAGATGTTTCCCTCAAAGGATACGAGTCTAGCCAAACCCAAATGAATTTGTCTCTTCTTCAACGTAACACATCAACTTCTGGTGAGAGAAGAGGCCGAGGAAAGCAAGCAGAACCTGGAAGGTTTCTTGGGGTGAGAAGACGCCCTTGGGGTAGATATGCTGCTGAAATCAGAAATCCTTTAACTAAAGAAAGACATTGGCTTGGAACATTTGACACTGCTGAAGAAGCAGCTCTTGCTTATGACAGAGCTGCCCTGTCCATGAAAGGATGCCAAGCAAGAACCAACTTCGTATACTCTAAAGATACCAACATTTTCCAAAATGCTCTCACTCCTTTGAATGCTCAACCTCTCTTGCCACCTTCACATAACACTCACAACATACAACCAACCAATCAAGGTGGCCTATCTCACCTTGGTACTTTCACTTCCCACATTGAAAATCCTTCTGACTTGTATCATGACACTTCATATGGGTCACCTCAGGATGATATTTTCTTCTTCTCCAGTGAGTCTAACTCAGGCTATCTTGAATGCATAGTTCCCGGTAACTGTTTCAAGAAGAGCAATGACAGTGCTTCCGGTCGCGACCTAAAGGTTGGCCACGTTAACTCAAACTCCATGCAGGTTCAGCCACATTTTGACACCACTCAAGAAGCCTTGAATATGCAAACAACTGTGGCACCACTCTATGCAGATTTTTCTTGCCCAAGTGAACTTGGTAAAGGATCATGGGATAACCACCAATCATGGGATTACAGCTCCAATGAACTGGCTGCAATGTTTAAAAATCCATCAACGGTTGTTGAGGAAGGGTGCATGGATGCATTGCATCCCTTCACTGATAGTTCAAGCTATGGGCTAATGACTCCGGTTGTTTCTTCAACTACCTATTCTCCATCATGTCCCCCCTTTGGGAATGTTGGCTCCGGATACTCACCCTTCTGAGCTCTATCAGTTGAGTTATGGTACCCTTTTAGAGTGTTTTACAAGAAATTATTATATAGTGTTAGAACATCATGGTATTGGTCAACTTCTACGTGTTACATAACTAAATTTTATTGACTCTACTTCCTAAACTAAAATATTCGATTATGTGTTCTGTAAGAAGATTGACCAGTACATGATCACGTGTTACTTGCATGCAGCTGTCTGGTAATTTTGGTTTTGAAGTAGGTTTTTATTTTCGTCTCATGTGATTACTAAATTTCACACACGGGGTGAGCTCATTTTTGTTGAGAAAAGCTTTAGTACCTCCACCAGATTACTACTTCTCTCTTTCACATCATGGAAAGTCATATATGTGATGTCGTTGCTCATATTGTTATTATAATTTATTGTCAATCTATAAGACCAATTCGTGACATGTAATTTTCATTGTCTGAATGACTGCAATACATATTTTTTCCACGTAGCAATAATATTAATGCAAAAGCCAGCGATCCAGTTGTAACAATGCAGAACCGCGTTGATTAAAGAATTGTGACAACTTTTCTCATTCTCAACCAGGAAGATATTGTTCATTCAGCTCAGAAAAAGTTGGAAAATGCCAAAGAATAATTTTTAAAAATAACAAATAGTTGGACAAGGGAACGGGATCAAGGCCATGAAAGCCAAAATACCAGTTTAAAGTTTTGAAAAATAAATGATAAATGTGTTAAAGTTAGTTGTTCTCAGATACCCAGTTATTATTAAGATAAAACTAATTGATACACGTATATGATCACTGCTCAAAACGCCAGATGATATAGTATAAATTACTGAAAGAAGCACTGAGAGTGGGCCAATTTTCTGCAAGGTACGTAACACTGTCGTTTGTTTTTTATTTCTGATAGAATATGAATTCAAAATTGCTATTTTATTTGGATATATTTTGCGTTATTTGAAAATATGTTGATCGTGAGTGAAGATTTTAGTCATAGTTTATTACTAGTTTTTCCTTTTTAATGATCAAACGTGATCATTTATTTTTTATCTTTTGGTCATATTACACATGTTTTTTTTTTTCTTCTTTACTCGGACGTTTCTTTTCTGACTACGAGAAAAATTTTAAAATTGTCGTGTCTTTAATTAAGACATTAATATTAGTGTGTAATTATGTGGAGGATTTTTAACTTGAAAACATTAGAAACAGTCATTGAATTTACTTAATCATGACTGTGTAATTATATGAACGTTTTTTAACTCCAAAAATTTGGAAACGGCCTTTGATCACAGTTAGTATAACAATGTGGTAAATTTTAACTTATAAATTTTAATACATTTTATTTATTTATTTATAATAATATGACTGGTCAAATGTATTCACATCCAATAACTTACTTTATATATATATATATATATATATATATATATATATATATATATATATATCATAATTTTCTTTAAATATTGTATCAGTTTTTTTTCTTGTCTTCAGAAAGCACCATCTTTTATAATACCTAGAAATTTTTAGAAGACAAGCGAGATATGAAAATGAAGAATTATTCTACGTGCATAAATCCACCAAAACTTGGAAGTTCACTTCAGCAGTTTGATAGTGCAATTTCACTTGGAATTTCATTCAGAAGTCTCTGATGGTGCAATTTTACTTATTTTTTACGCCCTAAGTGCACTACGCATATTGCACATAAGACACGGAAAGTGACTCAGAATGAATGTTGCGTGCCAAGTGCGTACTATTTACAGTTCAAGTATCTTACAACAACACATATTCATCAGAGGGTTATATATATATATATATATATATATATATATATATATATATATATATCTGTGTGTGTGTGTGTAAAAAATCCTGAAAATAACTGAGCTCAGAATGAAGCTTGATCAGGTATAAACTAAAAAGGTAATAAAGGTTATTACACATTCAAATGCGCTAATTTAGATTTGTTTCTTCATATATGTATTTTGTAATAAATTTAAGTAACAAGTCAAGCTTTTCATGTCACAACATAACCGTGTATCTAAAACCATATAAGATAGCAATGTGAAGCCTCATTGTAGTCTCCTGGTTACTTCTCTTCACAATAAACCCTAAATACAAGTTGGGAAATGTGAAATGTATTAAACAACACTTACAAAGCAGAAATGGAAAATTGTCCCAAATTAGAAAAGGGTTCAGGTGAAGAGACATGAACACGTGGTATACGAAAGTCTGGACAGAATGTTCTCATATAGAAAAAGATTGGAGCACAGATAAGCATTACAAGCTCCAAAAATTGGAGATGTGAAAGGGCATGTGCACAATGGGCTTGCAGATTCTTTGGGAGTTATTCAAAAGCAAGGTGGTCGTATGGATTTGCTAAAATTCTCAAGGATGGCCATGGTTTATTCAAGATCAAAGAGATGGCCACAAAATGATTATATAAACACAAAGATAATTGGTGTGAAGTGTGCTAGACCTGAAAGTGGAACTGGGATAACTGAAAACAAAACCTATTGGAGGACCTCCTTGAATAATTATGTCCAGCGGAAGAATTGAGATGGAAAAAAGGAGTAATGATGAGGTATGCATTCACATTGCTTAGCTTGAGGTGTGAGAGACATTGCTACTTGTGGTGCTAGTGGCAGTGGCTAATGGATCCAAACTTTGAGCAGATGGCTGACTACTTGATTGAGAAACAGGTCCACCAGTCGACAAAGTCAAGCCAATTGACCCAGTCAACATTCCTGTTGATGAAGACATTCTGGATGGAACAGACTCCTTGCTGGATCCTGAGGAAAGTTCCAGCCGCAACTCTGACGATGAAGATGATGGAGCAAGAGTACCAATTGTTGAACCAACAGGATAGGGTGCAACTGGCATGTCAGCCAAGGAAGAAGCAGAAGGACTATAACTCAGTGATCCCATAGAATGATCGAATTTACATGCAGAACCAAACTTACATACTCCATGTTGTGCATAATGAGTACAAGGTGATGCCCCCTGATTATCAAACACAGTCATTAGATTGATTCAAGAGATATTTTTCAAAAACAGTTTAATTGATAGGCAAACTTATTATTTCCAAGTGGTAGTTTTTAAACCTATCGAGTGACTATTAAAAATTATTATGACACTTTCCTTGAACCAAAGTCCTAAGAGGAACACTGATGCATGAAGAGGAGAGAACATTTACAGTTGAGGGAATATTAAAGACTAGTTTATCATATTTCAAAAGCCACATATTGAAGAAAATGAAGTACTCCTAACAACTAGAATAGCAGTCCTAATAATAGATCACATGATGGGAACATACTATTTACCCATGAAAACCAAGTTTAAACAACTCAAGCTAGTATAGAACATAGAATGAAACACCAAAAACGATGACAGAGCAGAAGCACCTACGTTCAACAGAGAAACATGCAGAACAAGATGTTCATAGCATTCTCAAAGGTTTCAAGCAAGTGCAACTGATGGGGCCAGTAACTCATTCAGCATTGCTAAATTTGTATTGACCTGTACATAAATTATTTTAGCTTATTGACTAGTCACTTTTTTTCTCCTAAAATGGAGAAGCTCATCCAAACAGACCTTATAATGGAAAATTAAATTGGGGGCCTCGTGGGGATTTGGGTATTATTCGGAGTCTAAGTCTCACATCAAGTGCTATGAGATGTTCAGTAGAATATTCAAGTTTTTGGTTCTCCCCCTTAACAACTAGCTTTAAGGGCTAGGTTCCCTATATGCCTGGGTGCTTATCAAGGCCACATAAGAGAATCTAGATAAAATAAGGAAAACAGTGATGTTGTCGAAGATGATGCACAAGATGAAATTTATTAGGGAACTATGAATAACACGTTGAAAAAGGACTAAAAATAAATGCATCAAAACATATTGAAACAAACCACATAAACTGTTAAAAACACTTCTATTCACAAAAATCAGGTAACTGATTGTCCAAAACCGTTGACCAGGAAGCAAAGCCAAACAGTATTGATTGATAGGTCTTGCTTCCTTAAATGGAGTTTTGCTCTCACTAAGCTTTTGTGATTCAGGATGGTATGAACTAATAATGTATATAATATAATTAATAAACATAAAACTACAATTCTACAAATACAAATTAAAAACACATTTTTAAACATTTTAAAAATAAAAATAAAATTATAAACCATTGTCTTCATATATTTCTTCCTATTATTTACATATAGAAATAGCACTATTAAATTCATTCCTTAAAAAAATTCATAAAGGGAACAATTTACATCTTTGGTTTAGGAAGAGACAAATGTTTCTAAATTACACATACTTCTATGTTTTCATGTAGTTTTATTAGTTATAAATGTTTTAAAGGCATACACACTTCACCAACATGTATTGCTGAAGTATCGAAAAGTATCGGTATTAGGTACATGAAATAAAAGGAAGCATTGGTGCTTCATGGGTTAAGATATTTTATTGATACATGACAATAAAGTATCCAAGAGGTACCTATATCATATTCGTATCAGATTCGGATACGTGAAACAAATTTAAGTATTTGTGCTTCGAACACTCTTTCTTCTCTAATAAAGTTTATCACTAGGGACCTCCCCTCCTAATACGAGAGTTTTGCCTTTAAAAGTGAAAAAATAGGTTGTTGGTGGGCCAAAAGGTTGCTAGAATCCCTTGCTCTTGCTATTGAATCCGGTTTTGATACTTGAGATTGAAAGAAGTTAGTGACACTTCTTTTTACATGCTTGAACTACGGGACAGAATAGCATAATGGAAGTTACATTCATATGGGTCGCACCTATGCATAAACTTGTTGACTTAGGATGTTTTCAAATCCTCGCACACTTTTTTCACAAGAATCAATCAGAAAACCATTAATAAGGAAACATACCTAAATGGTTTTACTAAAACTTTGGCTTTTGACATAGCCTAATAGTAATAATTGATCCATAATTATGTAGAATAAATTCATTATTTCTTTCTTTATAAATAACCTAGAAAGAAAAAAATGTTTCTTTATTCTTATGTCAACTATTTCTTTATCTCTAATAGACCCATTAATAGGATTTGAATGAAAATGAAGTTTTGACCATTTATCAAAGAGAAAAGAACGGTTGAAAGTCTCACATCGCCTACCTCATATCATTTGGTATGGTTTAAATACATGTTAGGCTACTCCACATATAGCCAATTGGTTTTATGTTGGAACCTTAACATGGTATCAGAGCCAAAGCCTAACATCTTTCCGGTTATTGTCATGGGCCAAAAGTTGCCCTTTAGTTGGGTCAAAAATACCCTTTGCCTGGTCCGGTAGGCTTCGTTGGAGGGGGTGTGTTGAAAGTCCCACATCGCCTACCTCATATCATTTGGTATGGTTTAAATACATGTTAGGCTACTCCACATATAGCCAATTGGTTTTATGTTGGAACCTTAACAAGAACAATGGGCTCTCGTGTTCCATGAATAGTTGGCACCTTGAGGAATATTCAAAACCGATTTAAAGGAATCGTTCTGGCTATACCTTTGTTTGTTACGTTTGAAGAAAGGAAGGATTCCACCGATCTTTCTTTTAGTTGTTGAATCTCTTCTTGATTGACCAATTGTGATACATTGAATACTTGTTCCTAGTGGAATCTAAATAATCCTCGGATTGATCAAAAGATTTTTTCCAATTGGTTAGGATTTGTTACTTGAATGAAAGTAAATATCATGGAATCATTTTTGAGTATTTAAAGATACATTCCGTACCTTTGCAAAAAAAAAATACCTTGTTTACCTAAAGTTTTGGCTTTGGACGTAGCCTAATAATATTGATTGATCCATAATTATCTTGAATAAATTTACTATTTCTTTATTTAAAGATCACCTACAAAGAACAAGATGTTTCTCTTGTTCTGTTTTCAACAATTTTGTATCTCTACTAGACCCATCAATAGGATTTGATCTAGAGGAAGCCTTGACCATCTATCAATCAATTGAAAAAAACCGATTAATTGGCTCTCATGTTACACGAATAGTTGGCACATTGAGGAACATTCAAAAATGATTTGACTCACTCTGACTCTACCTTTGTTCGTACGTTGGAAGAAATGAAGGATGCCAACAAATAACCAATCTTTTGTTTAGTTGTTGAATCTCTCCTTGAAAGACCAATGTGTGATATATCAAATACTCGTTCTTAATGAAATATAAATAATCCTTTGATCGATTAGAAGATTCTTTCAATTGGCTTGAATTTGTTCAAAAGTAGATCTCGTGGAATCATTTTGAATATTTGATGATATGTTTCATACCTTGCAAAAAAACTTATCCTTGTTTACCTAATATTTTGGCTTTTGACATAGCCTAATAGAATCGATTGATCCATAATTATCTTGAATAAAATCACTATTTTTTTTCCATAATTGATTGATCCAAATTTTATCTCTAATAGACTCATCAATAGGATTGAACGCACAGGAAGTTTTGACCATCTATCAAAGAAAAAAGAACTATTCACTCTCATATCCCATGAATAGTTGGTACATCAAGGAATATTCAAAAATAATTTTAAGGAATTACTCTGACTCCACTTTTGTTTCTTATGTTTGAAGAAAGAAAGGATTCCAACAAATAACCAATCTGACATTCAATTGTTGAATCTCACTTTGATCAATGTGTGATATATCAAATACTCATTCCTAGTAGAATCTAAATAATCCTTGGATTGATTAGAAGATTCTTTCAATTGAGTAGAATTCGTTACTTGAATGAAACTAGATCTCAGAATCATTTTGAATATTTGTTGATACATTTTGTACCTTGCAAAAAACATATCCTTGTTTATCAACTAGATTGTCTAACCAAATCTAATTCTCTTGACATGTTCCTAATAAAATCCAATTCGTGCAAACTCTTCTCCCAAGTTATGAAGAGATCTTGATGGAATTATAACATTTGAAATTAATTGAAATTTTGTATAGAAATAGCCCCCCTCGTAGTAGTAAACTTCACTTGATGGAATAACTAACTTGTAGAAGAAATGATAAAAATTACATGAGATTTATATTGACTAGTACAGGGATTAATGTTAACTTGCTAACCTAAGACTCATTAACTAATTTCTTAAGAGTTGGATGTTCGCCATCAACTCTTAAGCATACTAAAAACTAACCACAATTCTGGTGGCACAACTCGCAAGCTTTGTTTATTCCCATTCCCAAGACCAAAATAGGGGTTTCACCAAAAAGCAAAGAGATGTGTCAATATTTTATTAAATCATTTACATTCTCTTCTCATTTAAAATTTTGGGGTACCTGAATCTTGAGGAAAGTATAGGGATTTTGGTAGAGAAGTAAGAAAAGTGAAATATTATAAATAATTGGTTATGTATAATGGTCTTACACAAAAGACAAACACTAGGCACTATACTAACACTAGACCGAGTAGACTCATAATCCTAATTAAATAAGAAAAATGAAAGATGAAAACCATTTCAAAGAGATCATCTAAGATATTCTATTAAAGTAGTTTGATTCAATCATTGTATTAAATTTCAGATAGTGGCATGTAGGAGCCAAACCCATAAAAGGTATAGCAAGATTGTTGAATAATGGGATAGACGCCATTTTGAAATATTTTATATAGTTATATAATGTAAACTATATACATGTAAACTCTCAAAATGGTAAAAGTAACCCAAGATTAATGACATTCATAATTAAAAATAAAATGGCATAGGTGTCTTAAATAAAACATACAAGTAAATACCAGCAAAAGTCAAATGTAAGTTTCCTAGATAATAGTCATCAAGCATCATCTTCTAAATCCAAGTCTTCTTTATCATTTTCAGAAATTGAAATCTCAAAAATAACCCTCTGAAAAAGCCCTAATGTTTCTGTTTGGAGGGATTTTTAGAATCAATACATAATGCTGCTACGGCCGCTATTCAGCCACTATTGGGTCCAATATGGCTGCTCCACTATGGCAGCCCTTGTAGTGGGAAGGGGCTGCCCCACTGCTATACTGGCAATACAGCAAGCTATATAGAACCCTGGATTCAATAATGATGTTATGAGATATTTTGCAGATATTCAAGAAATTCTTGACAGTGGTTATTGCAATTGTTGTAACAAAACAACAAAAAGGGTAAAGGAGAAACGGTGATCCTTAGAATATTTTACTATACACTGCATCAGGGCTAAATCTAAAATCATGACAATGAACAAGACAGTTTGTTAAATAGCCTCTATACCAGCATTATAGTGCTATGCCCACTATTCCATTGTGAAATTCCTTGTATCCATGGGCAACTCTGTCTACTGCAGCTGCTATGGGTGTTGTGTTGTCAGCATCCATCCCGCATCCTCTTGTCATCTCCAACACGTCACCGGTCAAACACTTTTGGGTTAATATTGTGCCAATTTTTATTTATTTTATTTTATTTGTATGCAACTTAATTGTTTTATAGATATATAATTTATATATCTCATATTTCAGCCATTATGTGCCTTCCACGTTTTGCCCATGACACTGTCTGCTATATAATATAGCAGATTAATAGCATTCTGCAATCCACAATTTATCACACACTGAAGCAAAAAGAAGAAAACGGTTCAAAGTACTAACACCAAATTAGCTTAAGACTCTACCAGTCGGCAAGGAAACTTGGAACGTCTAAAACCAGACTGTCTAGCAGAACCTCCATAGTGCTTATAGGACATTTTGCACATTCTATCTTCCAAAATCAATGAATTTTGGTATTAAATCATCAATCCAAGATGTTTTATGAAGGATCAGTGTTTACCAGAATCCAATATAATTTAAAATAAATACACCCTAGTCAGTGAAACAGAATGGACCTCAATGGTCAACACCTAGATTTTCATTCACAAGTGAGTCTATTAATTATTATTATTATAATTCTACACATTTAGAAAACTTCATGACAAAGATCCATATGCTTAAATCCTGTTGACAATCCATAAATTTAAGAAGTTTTGATTATATTAAGCTACAAATAAATCTCTCAAGAACCTAAAAACTCATATTAGGCCCAAGACAGAAGCCATGATGCAGCAATAACAAAGGCAAAAAAAAAATGGACAAACAATGTTTTTCCTAAAGTCAATAAGAATTGAATAGATCAACTTTCAAGTAAGAAATTTGCTAATATGCCAAGCTTATCTACATATAGGAATATGATTCCTAACCTGATGATGTTGGCTACTGGAGAAAATGTAAGGAGACAATGGTTGATTTATCCCTAATTTGATTCTTCCACAGACTTCAGTTTTAGTCCCTGCCATTCATGATAACCATTCTTAAGTCTATGTGCAACGATTTTCAAATGTGTATTTAAGTAACATGTGCCAATTTCACCTATACAGCCATTAACACACTTTCCCACTCTCACCCCACCATTTCCCTAGTGGGGAATGAAGATCTCTAAATACTGAGACAGCTTGAATGCAGGACTAACTATCGGCTGAAGAATCTTAAATAGAAGTACAATACATTCATTTACAAGATCTATGAGTACCAAATAAACTTGGTTTTTGATAGTGACATCTAAGGGATGAATACCGTCACAGACTGCCACAAGGCACAGATTCTCAACCTTGTTCCTAGGATCATATCATTCAATCAAGCACTCAAGTGAACCAAACCAGTCCTAGTTTGGAATCAGCATTTTTATTTCTATCTCCCGAGTTTGCAAAGCCTGGATGTGCATGACACATACAGATTATGATTGTTAAAGCTTGCCATTTGGGAAAAAATGGGTTAGTGACTTAGTGTTGTTCTGATTCAAAGTAGTAAATCTTGATAATACCACCATAGCAGGTACAGTAAGTATCATGAGACCATTACCGAGTAATCAATATAATGTTATAGAGGAGTAAATAAATTCAAATCTACAAGCAAGCTGCTAAAAAATGAATTATAAAACTGCCATATAACAAAGACATGAAAATTTCCAAATACATGGAAGTGGGAATATATATATATATATATATATATATATATATATATATATATATATATATATATATATATATACATATGCCCATAAAAGGATAAAAAAGTAAATACAAAAACGAACTTCCTCGAACCAAAAACATGCCAACCATATACAGCATTGCAAGCATATGCAATATAACTACAATATGCAGGACTCAGAAAATTTCCTTAAGGAGTACACAAAAAAAAAAAAAAAACTTTATGATTATTACATTAATGTGACAATTCCCGGGTAACACCAATCAAATGCAACAGAAAATGAAAATGATTACACCAATCACAATAATTTATGATGTTTCAGTATTTTCTTACAAACTTTAAAAAGAGTCATGAGGAGTTTTAACTGGTTATGGTACACAGTTCCTTACTATGGCAGAGAACAAATCCACACTCAAAGATTTTGAAGATCTTTCTGACTGCACTTACCCCCCGTGCAGCTATATTGATCACACAACATATTTAACATAATATATCTAAAGAAAGGAACAGGATGTCCCACTAAGATGAATGTATGACAAAATAGGAATTCCACTCTCATAAAGATACAATCAAGCCCAAGCAAGGTGACAATACTAAAACAACAGTTTTGCCTCCATGCTCTCAATTTCTCAAACATTACCAGAAAAGTGTATCTTTAAAAAAATCAAAGCACATGAACAAGGAACATTGGCTGTTTCGTCTTCAGTGATGATTTGCAAACTAAGCTAGATTTTCAGCATACAAGTTTCAAATCTTCTAAAAAGCTACTGAAAACAAAATGATATGTAAATTTGGTTATATTTGACAAATAGCTATTTGATCTCTAGAAACTAGGGATGATGGAGAAACAGCAGCAATGATTTTTCCTGCTATGTGGAAAAGCGGTGATGGACCATGCATATGTAATTCACGGGTCAATGATAAACACAACATGATAACAAAGTTTAGAGGCAACCATTACCGGGCGCAAAGGAAGACCAGCAGGACTAAGAGTCACATTTGCTTTTGGTGCAGTCGTTTCTTGTGGAGGGTTATACCTATAAGATGGACCAAATTTAACCTCCCCTGTTTTCGGATAATACTGATAATCTGGTTGGTTAGACCTTTCTGGAAATGCCTGCTCCTTCTGATTACTGCTTGAAGGACCAACTGAGGAACCAGAAGCTTGATAAGGTCCAGGATAGGCAGCTGCTGATGAAGGTAGTTGTGTTATCCCGTAAAGCTGTGGTGAACCAACATTAGGAGTACCAGAAGGAAGTACAGCACCTGTTGCAGAAGCCTGCACCAAGAAAGCTCAATAGTTAACGGCTTCAATGAATGCACAAAACATATTGACTGAGCAGTCAAAATGAAATGATTGACCTACTTGATAAGGACCCCAGCCAGAAATAGGTACCATGGCAGGTGACAGTACCACAGGTCCATAGGGGCTCTGGACTAATGAGCCAGGCAGCAGAGGAGGCCTTGCAACCAGCACACCAATTTGCTGGGATGAAGGACCAGGTGGGGGCTGCATGGTTGAATATAATGGAGAAGGTACTGGTACAGGCAAAGGCGAAACGGGGGCAACTGGTGATGGTGCTGGAATTTGGAAGCCAGCAGGAACGGGATGATGGAATTTACAAGTTGCACCAAACTTGCATTGTCCCGTTTTCACATAATACGAACACTCCTTCTCACCCTGTTAATTGTTATTATTTATAACATTCAAAAATACATGAAAATCTTTCGAAAACAGAAAACTAAACTGAAAATTCCCAAAACATGGCTAGTCTTATGCAACAAACACAAAAATAACACACCGGTCGCAATGGATATCCATAATAGTTTAGCGACACAGGGGTAGCAGCACCTCCTGCCTGCTTCGGGTGGTGGTACTTGCAAGACGAACCAAACTTGCACGTTCTTGTCCTCATGTAATACTGCATTTTAACCATCAGCAGATACAATAATCAGCACAGGAGTATATTCACACACAACCAAAAAAAAAAGCATAACCACACTCCATCCATCATCAACAACATCATTTTACACAGAAACAATTAATTACAAAATAGCCAACCCAATCACTCAGTAGAACAATAAAAAGCACCTGGCACACAGGCTGGCCAACTCGTTCCGGATACTCCCCCACAGTCCTCTCGGCTCCAACAACCTAAACAACAAACAAACATCATCAAATTACAAAGCACAAAAGGTCCAAATTAAGTGCACAATGCAAACATAACATTGTAACCTCAGTGAAAAATTACTATTTTTCAGTAAGATCAAACGAAATTGCAAACACAGAAGCACACGATCACATTAAGAATCTTCACAGGTGAGATGAATTAAGCAACAACAGGAACAACAACAAAATTACCGTGCCACGGTCACGAGGGTGGTTGAACCGACACCGCGAACCGAAGCCACAGAAGCCGGTCCTCAAATAGTAAGTGCAATCAGCCACATCGGGGCGTTGCGGATACGATTCCTCCGCAACACCCAGTCCCAATTGCCACATGGGCTCTGCATTTTCCACAATCAAGATCGAACCCGGTTTAGAAACCACCACATTCCCCCAAAACCATAAATCACAATCCTCGAACCTAACAAAACGAACCGCAGAGAACACAAAAGGTAAACATGTGAAGTGAGATACCTTCGAGGCCGGTTTGAGCTCCGGGCCCGGCCCATTCCGGGGACGGATCAGACCGGGAACCTTCGCTGGACCGGCCGTACTGCTCCATTGCACCGACCCGAACCGGAGAACGGAGCTGATTCGACGGTAATCGGAAGAACACAATGAGAGGTAATGATCAAATGGAAAGTAGAGAGAGAAAATGAGGTTGATTTTTCTGATTTTCTGGGGTTTCTCTCTCTAACCCGCACAGACAACCTTTGTCTTTGTTTTCTTCTCTCTCTTCTCTCTCACACACTCTCACTCTCTCTTCCAGTTTCCAAGCGTGTTCTGATTTTTTATCTTTCTCTCTCTTACAGGGAGGAGCTTCTTTTATTGGTCTGTGAGTTTGTTGGTTGGTTTTATTTATATGCACCCGCCAACACATCCCACAAAAATTACCAAATATATAATCTCCCTTTATTTTTGTTTTTATTCGCCTTATTACTATTATTGTCTAAAAACAATAATAATAATTAAATCACATTAATATTTATCTATTTTTATTTCAAGAGAGAGAACCAGGGTTTGAAATTTTGCGTGTGTGTGAGTGAAGCTGATTTGGAAGTGAGGTTGGAGCAGGTGGAGTTTTAGCAGAGAGAGAGAGAGGAATTCCAAAAAGACCAAAATGACCTTCAATTTCAACATGTGGAATACTGGGAGTCAATAGAATATGGGTTATGACAGCGTTGTCCTTTCCAATTAGACTTAATGCAAAAAGTAAATAGAAAGGTTAATTAATTAAATAATTAATTAATTAGTTAAATTAAATTAGTGTTGTGATTGTGGGCTATGGCTGACCAGTGATGACAACATATGCAGAAAAGAGCAGAAGATAGATGCTATTGGGCCCACGTGGCATAAAAGGAGGATCTTCCTTAAAAGGGGTAAAAGGTCGCATGAGTTTACTATGCGACCACCACTAGCGGATCCTTTCCCCTGCACAAATTTTCACAACAGTTATTGTGTCCAAATCTATCTCCTAACTCCTAACAGTTATTTTAACTTCAAACTTTTTTCTTGTTAATATATAATTATGACTCAAAACTCATTTATTTCAAAATATTTTTTTATTATTTTAAAACATAGATCTTACAAAATGTGTTCTGACGGATAAATGTGTTCTAACTTTAACCAGCTTCTACTTAAAAAAAACATTATTTTTCTTATTATTAATCTCTTTTCGTCATTTTCTTTTATTTAATAATTTTTTCAATAATCAATGAAACTACGGTTTATGTTGAAAGAATATTTTCTCCTCCCAGACACGTTTTAAATATGTCTCATTAATTAACCTAATACTATAAACATGGGAAAATGACAATTTGGCCTCTTGATTTATGAGTGACGTTAATCGTTAAAAGAATAAATATTACATGGTTTTTCTTTTGTTTAAAAGACTTTATTTTCTCAATAAATTGCTCAAGATACTTTTTTTTAGTTGTGAATATCTTACTATGCATTTTTTAAAACATAACAATATTTTAATAATCCCTTTTTCACATACAAACATTTAAATTACATGAGAACTAATTTTAATTTAAAAAAATATATTTTATTTTATATTTTTGCTTTTTTAAAATAACTTATTTAGATTTTTTGTTTCCAAGCATATCCTTAATATAATTAATACTTACTATTTATCGGAACAGTTTTTAAACTGTGAATGTGTGCTTTTTTTATCAATAAACTTGTCTATAAATTAAAAAATAAAAGTGTAATAATATGTAAATATGATGAAAACGTGCTTTCATACGATGGAGTGAAATTAACTTAAAATGAGATTTAATAATATAATGTCAAGTATATTATTAATGATTTAGTGCAAATTAAAAAAATGCTTAGGGAACAAGTAAATTAAGATTTGGTTAATTACTGTACTTAAAAATAGTTTTTAATTTTTTTTAATTTCAAAAAATAAAATGAAAAAATGTATTTTTATTTTACTTTATATTTTTATTAATAATACATGTATCTGTGTCAGAATTCCTATTATATAACTAAATTTTTGTATTAAATTACCTTAAAATATATACATGAGTATATCTCTTACCTATTATTTATAATTTAGTATAATTTATTTATAACACAATAATAATTTCTTATTATAATTTTTAAATATAAAACTATGTAAATTTTATGTGAATTGGATATAAAAAAATCATTATAATAATGTATATGTCTTTTTTTATTATTTTGTTATATAAAAAATGTATTCATTTAATGAGAATGTTTAATAATTTGATAATACAAAAAATTTCAAAAGTCCATTTAAATTAAACCTTGAAATATTATTTTGTTTTCTGGTTTAAAATTTATATTAAAATAAACTTCGTGATCATTTTTGTTTATTTTTTTATGACAATTAAAATGAATTAATTCAAATCAAATTATATTTAACTTCAAACAATGTTATATTACAAGTATAATTTAAATTATTTTAAGTATAAAATTAATATATATATATATATGTATATTAAATTTATTTTTAGAAATATTTAAAAAATTATACAAAACACAGTTTATCCTTTATTTAATAGATTGGTACTAGGCCACGCGTATGACAATATCATTGTTTTGTTTCCAAGCGTTAAGGAAAACGATTGCATTGATTTGCGGCGCAGAGATGTTAAATGGAATGAAAATTGCCTTTGAAGGGAGGGGATTGAACTTTGGATTTTTATAAATAAAAATACACTTGTCAAACTCAAATAATCATGTCAATACACCAATATTTCAATTGTTTAAAGGACGAGGGAATCAGATAAAAATAAATAAATTATATTATATTAATATAATTATTGTTAAAAAATATCAATGTCCATAATAAAAACAAAAGTGAAATTATAATACATCTTTTACCAGTTTAGAAAAAATAAAAACAAAAATCATTTTTAAAAACAATTATCAAATAATTTTTTTTTAAATATTATTTTATAAACATGCCCTAAATTTTTATAATTAATTTTCTTTTTAGTATATTCTCAGTTCAAACGTTTATGAGAGATTTTAAAGCAGGTATTGAATGTTGCATGAGAGATAAATTTAACTCAAGTGAATTTTTTTGTCAGTTCGATTAAGCATAATTTGTATAAATATTTATATATGTGTGTTAACTCATGGATATTGAAGTTCTTAATTTCAGTGAAATGTTATTACCTAAAAAAGTAATATATTTTTGCATGAATTAACTAAATTAGCTAAGGTACATACATTTCTGAGAGCAATAAAGTTATAATAATTTTTAATTTACAAAAACAATAAATGAAAATAAAAAAACAAATCTGTGAGAATAAAAGAAGTCAAATTATATTAAATTTGTTTTTTTATGACATTTGTATTTAATTGATATTATATGCACGAGAAAATTATATAACTGAGATGTATGTTGATAAATCAACAGTTGAGATAATATTGAATTGGTGAATGTGTAACGTGTGTATTAAGTATTCATAATAATCACTCTTAGTTATTACTCGAGCATTAAAATATATATTTTTTTAACTTTTATTCAATTATTAGGACAAAGATAATATTTAAAGTATAAGTTAAAATAAAGTATTTTTTTTAATCATATAAACAATAATATCAGGATACAGATCTCTACTTGTGAAAAAATTCAAAATCCGACAAACTAGTTTATAAAAATAAATATATATATCACCATGTATAATAACATATTTTTATCATAATTTCAATAATTATTTTAAAAAACCATATTAGATAATTAAATTTGTAGATAATAAAAGGAATCACTTCATCTTATTTTTGTCTATCCTATCCCTATCATAAAAAAATTTGGTATGAAAGGAATTACATATTCCTTTTAAAGAATAAACTTATTATCAGTAAGATAACTTTGTCAATAATTTTGATATAAACTTTTGTTTATCTATCTTTTTAAAAATATAATTTTAATTATACAAATAAATTTTTATTTTTTAATTAATATTTTGATTATATAAATTGAAATTTTATTATATTTATATGTTAAAATAATCGTATTCAATAAACAAAACAATATTTTTTTCTTATAAAAAAATCTGCACTCTCAGGCGGCGCGTGAGAATTTGTGTGGCGTGGAACGAAACGGTACCGTATAGAAAGTTAAAAACTGCAACGGTTAGATGAAATGTATGGAGTAAAAACTAACGGTGAAAGATCTGCGCATCCGTACAATTGCAAGATGTGACTTAAACGACTTTTTAGAAAGCGTGGGTTATATTATAATATATTTATTTATGCATAATAATTTGTAACTTTAGAGTATGAAGCATTTTTTATTTTTATTTTTCATTAACCTTTTTCGATGTGGGGATGGGAGTGATGATAGGGTGGAAAGTCCACGGGATCATACTAGGGTTGTCGGCAAAATGACCGGATGCTACCGGTGGAGAAGCGAGGTTGACTGTGGTTGAGAAACCGGCTGAAGCGGTGCGCAGGTAGAAAGTGGGTCCTGAGAGAAAAATGTCGGTGATTTAATCTACTTAGGGTTTGTTTGACGTAAAAGGTGGATTACACCCAGTTTAACGAATAATGATTGCGGGAACTTTAAAATGAGTTGAGGGTTAATCGGTTTGGATTTGTGTAAGTAGAAGCAGAGAACAAAAGCACATGGGGCTATAAAAGGTGGGGTTTGACCAAAGAAGAGAGTGAAGCTACAACTTCACACCCTTGTTTTGCTGCTATTTACTAGACATCCATTATGCATATGATGGCTTTCAGAGGATCACCTTCAACCCTAAATGCCCCATTTTCTGTCCATTCAATGCCCTACGAATCTTCCCCTTTTCCCACATTTCCACTGCCATCTCCTTCTTCTCTTTTTTGCTTAATTATTGGAACCCTAAATCATCCCCACCACCCTCCTTCATTGTCACTGTGCACAAGAGGTGAATTTAACACCAATATTATTTGTAAATCGATGGAAATTACAAAAGGTTGAAAAATGGTTCGAAAAGTAAATAAATCAGCTTTTGCGGTGAGCGTGGATCGAACACGCGACCTTCAGATCTTCAGTCTGACGCTCTCCCAACTGAGCTATCCCCGCAATTTATGTTTAAATAGCACTTTATTATATATTTATATCAATATTTCATTTTCTTGTACTACGGTTTTTCTAGGAAAAAAAGACACCAATGCACTGCAATACCATGAAAGAATTTGTTGATGTGCGAAAAGGATAATCCAAAACCTTCGGTCTTTGAAGGTTACCCTTTTGTTTATAAATCCAACCCTAGTAAATGTTGCATTCTCATGTACTAAATAAGAGAAACTAAAACTATTGTTCCTAGTATCTATCCACTGTCTGGTACAAGGTAACATTAACTCTGCTCAATTACAAACTCAACTTTATAAAGATTACATCAACACATAGTTTCCCTCTTAAAGAAAAGCAATCAATGTTTGGAAAATAATTTGGTATATATTAATCACATCATATGTCATAGATATACTAGTGAATTTAAATTAATAAATATTATCATATCAATTAGTGGTGGAGTTTTTTTTTTAATATCAAAATATACTTTAATAAATAAAGTAAATATGTAATATTGCATGATATTTTCCGTTAATGAATCCAAATAATTCATTTAAAAAAAAATACCAAATTAATATTAAAAATAGAAATGGACAAAATTTAAAAGAAATAATAATAAAAAAACTATTTAGCATTCAATTTATTTCATTTTCTCACATAACGGTGACTTCAACTTAATTAAAATTAACTTATAAGTGTGAGAACACATTTAACGTCATAAAAAAAACAAAACAAAAACGAGGATTAAAGCACACTATTTTAAATCTTATCAACTATACACCTTCGGTAATTTTTTAACTATACATTACGTTCATTATTTATATAATTTATTGTTAAAAAGAGTAACTATAAGTATAGAGTCAAATGGTTCTTATTTCAATATATTTTAAAAGATATATACTATGTTAGTTTGGTATAGATAAATGGAATATTTCATAAATTCATACGAATAAAAAATAATACACATGATCGAAATTATATGAACTTTTAACTCAATAGTAAACTTTAAAATAAAATTATTTAATAAAAAGTCATTACATAATGTAACTATAGGTATAATTTATTTCCAGAGGAAGACTATATTGCAATATTTCCAGCCTTACAAGTGCCTGTAATGCAAATTAAAAGTGATAAATAATTAATATATTTTTGCTTGTGTAATGAATTTATATAACCTTATTAAACTATTTGTTGGTCATTTGTCAAACAACCTGTGAATATATTTTTAGTCTTTTCATTCTCTATTACAATTTAGCACATTAATATATGTTTTGTAATTTTAAATTTGTTTAAAGATATTTTTTAAGAATAAAAGGTACCAAAAATATTTCATTTTTTTTTATCTGTGCTTGAGGAATATCATAGGAACGGAAGAGTGACAAAATTATACCGAGAAAAAAAAAATGAGAATGAGAATTAAGAACTAACGACTTAGTAGGTCAGAACTACCTCATCTGGGTCGCTTCTTGTAGAAGACAAGAGCAATTATTTTTTCTGCAACCCATGTTTTTCTTACAACATCATATTTTTTAATTCGATTTTTTTTTCTTTTTTAACATATTTAAAATAGTGAAATGTCAATAACACATTCCGAGTATATTTTTTGGATTGTTTAATTCAGAAAGATGAAGTGCTTATTTTACATAATTCCAAAATATGCGTTTCCGAAATATATTTTACAGCTATTCTAAAACGATCTTCTAAACAATATTTGATCCTAGGAAAAAGCATAATTCGCAATATATTTGATATTAATTATAAATTATGTATTCAAAGACACCTTTCATCTCGTCCTGTATTTATCTGGTCTTTTTATTTAAAATATAAATAATAGTAAAATATTATTTTTAATTACACATTATGAAATGTTTTCTTTTTCTTCAAGATCTTGTCTAAAATTATAAAATTTGTGTTTACTTAACATTGAAAAGTGTATTTTAGAAAAAGTGTGGAAGTATAGGACGAAAATCCTGAGGTATTTGCGTAAATGACTTTGATCTTGGTTTAATTAAGTTGTTTTAAGACTGCTCAAACTTTCTCGCGTTAAAAGGTCCATTTTTCCTAAAGGGGGAGAATATTTAAAAAAATGCATTCTTTTAATTTGGTTTTAAAAAATGTTGCCACTTCCACGCTGACCCGTCCAACTCCATTTCCTATTTTAGCTTTTAATCATATATGATAAATTTCAAATTTCTAATTTTGTTCAGGATGCAATATTTTACAACTATGTGTAACTTCACTAACTCATGCTCCAAACCATTCACTGCAATTATCTGTACATATATGGTAGACGTAAAAAAGTAAGAAAAGAATAACGAAATTTGAAATTTAAATTGAAGAGACATTAAATAAAGAAAAGTTTGCAAAACTGTATGAACAGATCAATCAATTTCTTTTAACCTTTTAACTTACCAGTTCCAAATAATAATTTCTACATTATCAATATTGAATATGCACCTGACAAAAACATTCACTGACAACAGTACCTGGGCAACAAAGATTTAGAAAATTTTGGGTTACATACCAAACCAGACAAAACATGCTTTGATCAGAGACAGTTTAGACACGTTTATGTATTCCCACTGTTGTGCATTACATCGATATTGAAAACTTCTAGCCGGCATTCAGCGTTAATAAGATCGGGGTCAACACTAGATAAATTTGTTTCATTCTACTCAAATATAAAAAATATCACCGATAAAATATCCAACAGAAACACAAAATGATTAACCGCAAAACAATAATCCAAAATCACCGAAACAAAACCTGGCAGGAAACAACAAACAGGTACGTTTCTACTGGAAAAGGCTGATAGATAACTAAAATATTTGTAACTCATTCATCAACGACATTACATAAACAAGTTGGGCTTTTTAGCCTTGTATGTGGTCTTCAGCTTCCTGGATGGTGGCCTAACTTTCTTGAAAACCAAAGGAAACTTGATTTTTGAGTTGTGGAATTGTTTGGTGCTCTCCCTCTTGCAAAGCTTGGCTGGAATGGTCGCAGTCTTAATAATTTGGATGCAAGGGCATCTGACCCTGTGACGGGAAGCCATCTCATTATACATCTGCTCAACTGCACCATTCAGAGTGGTGTCACGGTACTCCTTGTACATGTTGTGATACCCGGTCCTACTTTGATACCTCAGCCATATACCATAGTTCTTAATCTTGGTGGGGTTCTTCTCAAAGATCTGCAAAATTAAATAATGTTAGGATGGTAAACTACATATATATGTAAAACATAAAGCTAGCAGTACACAATGTATTTCAAACAGAGTTGATGAAATGAACTGTAAATTCAAGCACAGCTTTACCAAGCAAAACACATCGATGTCCATTAACAAATGTCATGACACAAATTGATGCAACAAACTATTAATAGAACATAAAAAGTATCCACTCTACAGATCACAAAATTTATCCATTAATTTGAAAGCCAGTTTCAGATACAACCATAAAAAACTTTTTTTTAAAGCATATTATTTGAAAAAATTACAAATAAAGAATTAAGTTTAGTCGCTCCATGATACACTGTATACATGGAACAATCAGAAATTTCCATCTTAGTCTACAAACCATATTTCAAAAACAAATTTAGCTATACTATTCAACTTAGTTGAAGAAGTTGTACTACATTCTAAATATGGAGTAATGATGTTATGAACATGAAATATTAGTGGTAACTCTATCCAAGCCTACACTCAAAAAACTTTCATGCTTTATTAACAAATTTCATCGTACACTGCACAAAATGCATAACAAAATCAAGCAAAAATCACAGTACAAGTTGCCTTGACAACAAAAACCAATATCCAAGCTAGCAAATCAGAGCAACATTAATAGAGATGTAACAAATTATTATAGAAGAACAAAAGCATAGCAACAAAAAAGTTCATTATATAAAATGTCTGCGGAATGGTGATATATATCATAATTTTCAACCACCGGAAAAAATATCTTATTCATCAGCAGAATGTGAACTTAAAAGTTAAAAAAACGGAAATCAATGTTTAAAACAGAAAGTACCTCGTTGATGGCGAGCATTTGACCATTGCTCTTCTTGACCTTTTTCAGCTTCCTCAGAAAATACCTTTCCAAATCAAAAAAATAAAAACATTAAAAAACCTTGAACCCTAAACCACAAGGTTCAGAAACGGGGGCCAATTAAATCCGATCGCTGGAATCTAAAAAAATGGGTACACATCGAGCTAAAGGAGATCATTGCTTGAAATATCTCAGGAAAAAAAATGAAACAACTTGTCTAAACACATAAGAAAATATATGAGAAATGAATGAGCTTACCAGAACTTGGATTTGGCGCGAACCTCGTTGGTGGCCCAAAGCTTCATGCGGTAAATCTTAGGGTGCTGATCTGCTTCCGTTGGGAGAGCCCTCCCAACAACCTGGTACTGGTGAAACTGCAAAACACAGACATCACATTGAAAATTACTACGAGAGTAAAACGAAATCGAACACCAACATAGAGCGAATTATACACACCCTGAACGTAACCATTTCTGAGAGAAGCCAACAACGAAGATCACTCTCTCTCTCTCTCTCCCTCTCAGTCTGGCGCTACGATGAAGAGGAACAATGTAGGGTTTTCTCTGTATATAAAGAGGGACGAAACCCTAACTTTTAATTTGGAGCACTGGGCTCGGGTTCAGGCTCGACCTTCTTGGGCTATACTCACAAGGCCCAAAGGTTTTTATTTTCTACGTGCCAAAATTGTTGGCATTATTCATTAAAAAAAAAAAAAAAGAGAATTCTGATTGAAATATTTATTAAATTTAAGTTATTCTGTAAAAACAAAGTTTCAATTAGCTGGCCATATAAAATAGTATTAAAAATAGAGTTGGATATGCTTGTTTTTATAAATACTATTCATCTATATATTATTTATTTTATGTATATTAAGATATTTCAAATTATTAGGCTTCTTAAATTTAAAATAATAGATAATCAAGTACTATTTTATGTATACTTATTTATTTAAATTATTAGTTTTACGCAATTTTAAAATTAGACAGTGAATTGTATTTTTATTTAATCATTTTATTGAAAAAAAGGTTCGTATTCAATTTTTAATATATGTAAAAACTAGTCAAAGTAACATATTAAGAGAAATAATAGTTAATTCATGAAATTAAAAGAAATTGGTGATGAACAAATATTGAATTATTATTATTTTATTGAGATATAATTATTTCAACATTTATTTAGCTAATCACATTCTTTCTTCATTTAATCATATTTATTTCCAAATTATATGTACATATTGGCCTAATGTTGAGTTAAAAATCTTGTCTAAACTTGATATTCCCTAATAAATTTAAATAAGATATGTATTAGTACATTTCATGGTAATATATATATATATATATATATATATATAATTATTAATATATATAAAAGTTTGTCTATAATATCACATAATAATAAATTAACGCATGAGTTAAAGTTGTTTAATTTTGTAATTATTATTTTAAAAATCTTATACGGAATGACTTCGAACAAATTTCAATACTAATACTATATAAAATTAGAGCTAAACTAACAAAAATATAATTAAATAATTTATCATGATTAATAATATTTTTATATGTACTTAATAAATTTTAAACTTTTAAAAGGAGTTTTTTTTTTTTTTCAGATTCCAACCCTTTATCAACTCGTATGACATAAAGAAACTACGTAAAAGTACCATAATTTAACCACAGTTGTGGTAACTTTCACAGCTAGGTTCGAAGTGCAAATTGAAAAACAAAACAAAAAAAGTTTGAGGGCTTTGTGGAAGTTAGAAGGGACAGTAGAAACTGTGCTTCAATGGAAGATCTCCTTGTGTGACTCCAAGAGATATTACAGCTACCATAGTGATGAAGGACTGAAAAATCAAATACATGATTTAAGTATAAGTAAGCATATGAAAAACAAAATCATCTAAATCTATATAATCAACATAAATACATTAATGTTTTTTAAAATAAAATAACTAAATTGACCATCTAAATACAATTTGTCATTGTTTTATTGATTTATTTCCAATGTTATTGTTTCACTTAATTAACCTTTGGAATGAATGTTAATACCACAAAATTCATTCTATGCAAATTTGGTGACTTTATAAAGTGTTTGCTAGACTAATTGCACGAATTTTAAGATACATATATAATAATGTGGTGAAATATTAGGTTTTGGAAATGTGAGGAATATGGAGTGAATTTGAGTGTGTGAAAAAAAAAAATGAAAGTTGTAGTTGATTTGGATTGAGAAAATAAATAATAGAAAATAAAGAAAAAATGAGTGGAAAATTTATAGAAGATATGATTGAAATAATATTTTTAAATATATAATAACCAAATTATCTGTATCTATAAAAGATAAAATAAATATAAATTAGAACTGTGATATAACTTATGAATTAATTTATATTATATATAAATTTGTGAGATATATTAAAATTATTTTATATATAAAATATAAAAATAATTTATGATTATTTTAAAATGATTAATATTTATTTTTAAAGAATTGTTAATTATTAATTAAAAACTATATAATTTTTTATTTCAAATACTAATTAAAAAATAAAATAATTCATAATTAAAAATAAATTCAGTTACATATTAAAAAACTAAAATTATATTTAAATATATTTTTTATTTTATTATAATAAAAAATTATAAAATTACATATAAATATAATATCAACATTAATTTATATATAATAAATATAATAATATTTATTATACATAATCACTTCTTTATATTATATAATTGATCATAAAAATTAATTTAATCGATTATATCTCATGGTCATATGATTCAAATATTATATAATTTATACAAATTCATTTAATCAATTATAAAATTGTATCAAAACATAACTATATACATATATAATATAACAAACATAAGTTTATATTCAAAATAAAAATAAAATATAAATAAAACTGAATATAAATAACTAAAATTAATATTATGCATTAATAAAACAAATAAAAATAAACTTACATATATAATAGATATATAATTATTAAGTAAGAATATATATAATATTATAAATTATAAATAAAAAATTATGAAATAAAATAATATAATTGAGGGTAATATAATAAACATGATGTAAATTTTTTTTATAAAATATTTAAATCCCACAATTTTATTATAATTATGTAGTTTTAAGAGTAATAAAAAAATTCACAAAATCAATTCTACTATTTTTATTTTTTTTATCTTTATTTCTACAATACTATTTATTTATACAACGAAAAAGGTATTTATGATAATTAATCTGCAAAATTAACTTCCTTTCCAAATCTCACCCACCCATTTAGAAGAAAAATATAAAATTAAAATATTATCGTTTCATCTTCTCGTTGTAAATATCCAACCTAAATTCATCCCTACAAATCAATCCTTTCTTCTAATTTATTTAAAATTGGTTTTAATTTTTTATTTTATTTCAAATGAATCCTTATATAATAATTTAAAAATGCAATTTACTTTTTATATATTATTATTATTAACATGTAATGAAATATATATATATATATATATATATATATATATATATATATATATATATATATATATATAATAATAGTAACTGCATTATATTTTAATAAGAATATGTAGATACTTATTTAAAACAAAGGACAAATAATGAATGTGAATTTTTAAATATATCATTAATATATTAATATTTTAGGTTATGGTAAAAATAATATACATGAAGAATAATATTGACAATGTTATATCGTTATTAGTACAAAATTATTATTATTTATTTTTTAAAGGATCTATAGCATCTTAGTCCCTCCATCAACAAAAGTATTAACTTTCTAAACTTTTCAAATCAAACAAAACATAAAGGATTTCAAATATTTAAAAAAAAGTAAATAAATAAAAATACTAACTAAACATAAATATGTTGCTGAAGTCAGGTTAATAATTGTAGAAGAATCTCTTTTAGATTGCTAACCTCAATTAACTTACCTCACGCAACACATGACATATATGCAAATGGAATTTTAGTATGCAAAAATCTATAAATTATTGGTATCACAAACAATAAAAAAATAAGCACGATGGGCATTTAAAAAAATACAGTGTAAAAACTATAACTACGTTCTGCACTATATAATGACTTACAAATTTTTTTTATCATCAATGCATCAAAGAAAATCTAAAGCACTTGAAAATAAATAGTTAGTTAGCAATAAAACAAACTTACAGCAATTGCACATGCAATTAATCCAGGTTTTTCCCGAGAATCCATCTGTACAAACACTAAAACAAAAGTTCCGACGTACCAAGGAGCACCACCAAGAACCCAACCAATGATGAACCTTAATTACAATAAATAAATTGTAATAATCAATGTCAACATAGAACACGAGAATTATAAATATTCGGACAAGAGAGTATTTAATTGAGGAAAATGGTTGATATTTGTTGAAGGTTTAAACATTGAACTTTCCAAACCAGACTCACAAACCTTGTTCTTAAGATTCATGATGATTATAGTCATGATATCAGATCCTGTAATAACTTGTGTGCTTATAATTTTATATTATCAGGTTAGTTCAGCATTATATAACTTCTTACAAAATACACTATTAGAAGACATTTTTAAATGATAATGAATTTCACTAATGATGTTACTGACCTACTGTAAACAAATACATTGTCGTTTCATTTTTAAGCAAACCAGAAACCACGTTGTATTGCAAACTTAGACGAAATTTTATTGAAGTTTTGCAATAATCGTGTTGTTCTTGGCACTCTTAGAACATTGTGGTATAATTATGAATAAAAATCATGTAGTTGGGGGCTTAGACCCTCAACCTAATCTACATGAAAAAATAGATATTGAACTGAATATCAATATCTTAACATTAACGTATTGATCTCTAATATTTTGAATTCACCAAAAACACTTTGAAAAATCAAAATATCTGTGACTTTAACAAGAGAGAAAGAAAACTCACAAAAGCCAACCATAACCAAGTCCACAACATGGGAGACGACGTTCTCTCAAAGGTCTTCCTTCAGCAATAGCATAGACTTTGACAATATAAAAAAAAAAAATCGTATCAATACAATACAAACAATTTCCATAAACATGATTTCTACGCCTGTAAATTATGAATACACTACTGTTTGTGCCAAGCCAATTGCAATAATCTCGTTTACTTTTGAATTTTGTAACATGTAAAGATCAAAACATACAAACATCAGATTCAGAGTAACGAGAATGTATACCTGGAACGACGTGGTGTCCTTGTTGTTGGTAATAAGTGCGGGGGAGAGCAGCAGAAAAAGATGGAGGGTGATTACATTGAAGAGGATAATAGTTGGTGACGCCTTGGAAGGTTCCATAATAAGGGTTTTCTATCACGATTCCTTCGTCTTTCCCTCTCTCGCTCATTGGAGAAATATTGGCGTTCATCATACTTCTTTAACCAGTATCAATCGTTTTCATCAAACCCTAGTAATTTAAAAGGTTTTTAATTTTGTTGCATTTGTTTTGCTTTGTTGTCAATATTCTCCCAAATTTAACCTTATACCTAAAATATGATAGTTAAATAAATTTGTCATGCTATTCATGTTTTGTATAATTTTTTTTTGTTCATAAGTTGTCTAATTTTATATATAAATTATTTTTGCAGGGCTAATGTTTTGTTGGAGTATGATACAAAGTTGCTTTATGAAATATAAATAGTTAGACGCTTATCTTTTTAAAGATAATAATTAAAAATATAAAAATAAGTTCTACAAAAAATATAATACTTGAATTTAATTTTATTTCTTATAGTTTCGTGTACAAATTTTAATCTTAATGAAAAGTTAATTGAACATTTCATCATTCATTTTTCTCAATTTAAGCACACGCATTATTAAATTTGTACTACGACCATAATTATAAAAAGCTAAGAGAAATAGGCTGGATATAAACCAATTTTTTGAGATCTCAAATATTTCACCAAACTTATTTTGATATATATATATATATATATATATATATATATATATTTCACTTTAATAACTTTTTTTTATGTTTAAAAAAATAATTCATTAATATTTTAAAAATTTAAGAAGTATTTTCTGTGAAAGCCTTACCTAACAAACTAATGTAAAGATTAAGAAAACATATTATGTTATAGAGTTTAAAAAATCTCGGAGAGCGGTTAGAATAATTAAATAAAGAAAAAATTAAAAAAGTAAAGAGTTTGAAAAAGAAGAAGAAAAAAAAGTATATATATATAAACAATTTTAGAATAAAAGGGTCATATTTTTAACTTTTTGTGTTCTTAAGGCTAGTGTAGGCCCAAACAGCCCAAGTCCAATAGGAGTCCAATAGGGCTACATAAAAAAGGTTAAGGGTAGTCTTTCAAACCCTAACGCTGCCACCATTTCCATTTGTTGCAGTAGCGTTGAAACCCTGCCAAGCACTTCATCATGGTATGTAGATCGAAAATTTTCATGTAATTGCACCACTGATTTTCCTTGCTAAAATAACTGAGGATTATGTGGTTTGTTTGGTGATGCAAGATCGCAATCCTTATAAGATTTTTGTTGTTGTGCAGTCGAAGAGAAAGGTTAGAGAGCCAAAGGAGGAAACCGTGACTCTAGGTCCAGCTGTTAGAGATGGTGAACACGTCTTTGGTGTCGCTCGCATATTTGCCTCCTTCAATGACACCTTCATTGTCAGGATACTCAATTTTTTTTTTTTTTTTACTTCAAATTATCAATCATTGTACTCTGATTGTTAATATTTTAGATTTTTTTACTGCAGCATGTCACTGATTTGTCTGGACGGGAAACTCTGGTCCGAATCACTGGTATTGGTCTTTCTCTTTACATTCATGAACTAGTAAAATGCACGGTTTCAAATACTCTCAAAACTCGGATAACCTCTTTTTTTTTTTTTTTTTTTTTTTTTATTTTATGTTTGAAGGCATGGCTTTCCCATCATTTAATGGTTTAATCCCATATAATTTCACCACCCCAAGAGTATCTAGCAAATGTTTGTCTCTTGTGGTGTTAACGATAACACTTCCAGAGCCAAACCAATAATTTTATCTAGCAATTACCTTCAATTGTTTTAATTTGCCAACATTTTACTCCTAATTTATAGTAAATCGTATAATTTTTATGATAAAATAGACCATATGTAGGTTCGATAGATTTTATTATGCTAGAGTGAAATATGTCTGTATTTTTACTCCTTTTAGCTTTTCATGTTATCTTATATATCCTTGCCACATAGTTAGTATCCCCGTAGAATGGAGTGACCTTAGTGATGGGCCTGCCCTTCAGTAAAATTTTTGTTTTACATCATACTTATGATCTTTGATTGATTTTCTAGTCATGGAACTCTGGATTTATATATCAACAGCCAAACATTTTTTGCAGTTAAATGAGTTTGGTTCAGACTTGACTCTTTAGTGGATATTGTAAAGCCGGAAATCCATTTGTATATCACCAAGCATAACTTTCTTTGCCATCAATTTTGGTTTAGTCTTACGGCTTTGCTTTCTAACTTCAGGTGGAATGAAGGTTAAAGCTGACAGAGATGAATCATCTCCATATGCTGCTATGCTTGCCGCACAGGATGTTGCTGCCAGATGCAAGGTACCTGGGTGTTACTCTTACTTCTATTACCTGTGTTAGCTTAATTACTATTTTGATACATTTCAATATGATCTTCTTGTTAGTTATCCAGTAACTCTGGTAAATTGTTGTGGTGAGCTGATGATTCTGTTCTTGTAAAGGAAAGTGAAATCACGGTATTAAAAAGAATATTTTTTATGTGAAGCTGTCAAGCTTGATGCACTGTTTCAAATTATTTTGGAGCAGGAACTGGGCATAACTGCGCTTCATATTAAGCTTCGTGCAACTGGTGGAAACAAGACCAAAACACCTGGTCCTGGTGCTCAATCAGCTCTTAGGGCCCTTGCTCGTTCAGGAATGAAAATCGGTCGTATAGGTAATTTGCCCTTTTATGAGAACCATTGATTTGCTTCTTTTTCGTATATATTGTTTTCTATTTTCCGTTTTTATTGTATCTAATAGTGTGTTGATAACTTGGACAACTTCACTTTCAATTGTTGTTTATTTTTCTTCTAGATTTATTGTACTCCTCACTTCTTTTTCTAATTAGTTTCGTTTGTGTTTCATTTTATTGTTATACAAAATATTAATATTCTTGCTTTTTTTTCAGAGGATGTGACACCCATTCCTTCGGATAGCACCCGTAGAAAGAGTGGTAGAAGAGGTAGAAGACTTTAAATACTGGAGTTGCTGTATTTTACTCTCCATGCCAAACTGAACTCTGGGATTTTGAAATTTTGCTGCTAGAACTTATAATGTATTTCTTTAGGCATTTGAACAGAGCTTTAGTTGATCACACATTTTGATTTATTTGTTATTGAAACTTCTGCTTGTTGCTTTGTTGCTTGCAAATTGCCTAATCATCTCTTTTTGGTCAAACGTGACTTGTGTTTGTTAGATTATCTTTTTCTAGTTCGGTAATTTGAGTGTGGAATCAATAATATCTTTTAAAATGGGGTTATATTTTATTACGATATTTGCCCCGCTTTTAATGTCTTTTAAAATCTGTAATATCTTTTACATTCATTATTTGTCTTTATTTTTTTTTTTTTTTCAGTTGCAGTAATATCTTTTACATCTTTTATTTGTCTTTATGTTGTCAATTCATTCTGCGTTTTTATTTGTTAGACGTCATTAGCCTGATAGTTCTCTTGTATCATTAATTTATATTGATGGTAAGGAAGGAGGAAGAATTTTTAAACTCTTCTTATTGTTATTTTTAGTTTCGAATATTAAAAGTATTTTTTATTAAAGAATTTTGTTAACAAAATCGTACTCAAGAGGTGCTCTTAACAAAATTTGGTACAAAATTTGGGGTTCTAAATAACAGTTGCATGTTGTCCCGACCTTTTATGCTTATAGTTGGGAAAGTTGAATTAAATTTTAAATTGATATTCATTTCAAAAGATTTCTTATTTCGTTTAAGTATTACTGATTAATTGGTAATTCAAACTACTGTGAGATCACGATGGAGGTTAATCACACATCCATTTTTAGTGATGTGGGCATTGTAAGAGATATGGCTTTTGGTTTTAGCTATTCTAATTTTTTTAATTTTAAAGATATAATATACATAAAATATATAAGATAAAAATAGATGATGTGGGCATTTTCAAATTAAACGTATTCATTTGACATTTAATTAATATCTTATATACCAATCCCCCACCCCACCGTTTCCGAAAAGATGATTTCATCGGAAAATATTAATACAAACCTAAACATTCAAAGAGGTGAATGTATCTTGTTATACCAGATGAAAATTTATTATCGTTTCAAAATTTAATCTTTTACTTAACCACCAGCTAAAAAAATAACATCTAACAAAAACTTAACGCTTAATGAATTGACAACTAAATCTTCTAAAATAGAATATTTCGACGAACAAAGTACAGAGCTGGGTAAAAAACCTCAATAATCAAACAAATGAAGAGACATTAAGACAAAAGTATACGATTAGGCACCATTTGCAAACCCCGAAGCATCAAAGAGAACTTTCAACAAATAAATGAACGTGTTTGTCAGTAACAAACTAAAACTCGGATCAATGCCTAAAGAAATACATTAGAAGTTCTGACAGCAAATTTCAAAGTGCCACGGTTCAGTTTGGCATGGAGAGAAAAATGGAGCAACTCCAGTATCTAAAGCCTTCCACCTCTTCTACCACTCTTTCTACGAGTGCTACCCGAAGGAATGGGTGTCACATCCTCTGAAAAAAAGCGAGAATAATAATTAATATTTTCTAGAAAGAAAAACCAGCAGTCATTTAAAATTGAAGTTGTCCCAGTTACCAACACACTTTTAGATACATAAAAAAACAGAAAATAGGAGACAATATATTCATATAAGAAACAAATCAATGGTTTTCGTAAAAAGGTAAATTACCTGTAAGACCGATTTTCATTCCTGAACGAGCAAGGGCCCTAACAGCTGATTGAGCAGCAGGACCAGGTGTTTTTGAACTTGTTTCCACCACTTGCACGGAGCTTAATATGTATGCAAATATGCCCCATTCCTGCTCCAAAATAATATGAAACAATGCATCAAGCTTGAGAGGTTCTGCATAGAGGGAACCATCCCTCAAAACCTGACCAAAAAGTTGGATAATTGCCTTATAAGAGTTCCCTAGTAACGAGAGCTCCCGAACACCTATGTAATAATCATAAAGTTAAGGAGGGAATCATCCCTCAAAAGTTGGTCCGAGAGGTTGGAGAATCTCCCGTCTTATTAGGTCTCCCTGGTAAGGAGACATGCACTCCCCGATACTTCAGTCGATTTTTTTTGTCTGTCAAAACCTTCGGTAGGTAGCCCTTCTCGAGTTGACCGGCTTTCAACAAGAGTACCTAAGTAATAATCATAAAGTTTAGGAGGGGAATCATCCCTCAAAAGTCGGTCCGAGAGGTTAGAGAATCTCCCACCTTATAAGGCATTTCCGATGTGGGGCTTGTTACAATACCACCCCTTCGAAAACCAACTTTCTTGATGGTTGCACTCCTCCCGTACTTTACTTGGCCTCTTTTGTCGGTCAAAACTCTCCGTAGGTAATCGAGAACCTCCCACCTTATAAGGCCTCCCGAATAAGGAGACCTCCTCAATGTGGGGTTTGTTACAATATCACCTCCTTCAGCATCCCCGATGGACGTACTCCCCAGTACTTCACTCGACCTTTTTTGTCGGTCAGAACCCTCCGTGGGTAGCCCTTTACTAGGAGACCTCCCCGATATGAGGTTTGTTATAATATCACCTCCTTCAACGTCCTCACTGGATGCACTTTTTGATACTTTACTCAACCTTTTTTGCTGGTCAGAATCTTTCATGGGTAGTCCTTTTCGAGTTAGCCGATTCTCAATGAGAGCACCTATGTAATAATCATAAAGGAAACTATCCCTGATAATAAGAGCTCCAGATATAGAGCTTGTTACATCTTCATATGTAATAATCATATGTTACATCTTCATAGAACTAATATTCTTCGTAAAATATTGATTTCACTTTCTATTATCAACACATGACCATTGTGTGTGTGACCGATAAATTCATTATTAAACTCGTACATTATTAACTTACTAGTTACTGTAATATATAAATCTAATTTATATATCACTACTAATTAAATCAATAGCCATTAACTATCACTCTTAAGATTAACAGTATGAATGAAGAACCCAAGTCAGTGTTAATAGATTCAATTAGGTCTTTGTATTTAATGTAAACAATTCCCATTTATTACGTACAGTTCATATATATATATATATATATATATATATATATATATATATATATATATATATATATATATATATATAATACCATGTTTTACCATATTCACTAAAAATCACCATCACACATATAAACTGGCCTCATCACCGCGGCGAAATCAAATATATAACAGTAACAATTTTTTTTTATATACTCGTTACTGTGCACACAATCGATCATGCTCAATATGTTCATGTTGGAAATATGCAATTCCAGCGTTTAATCACAATTAAGCCTATTGATTTTCAAAACTTATAATAAATTAGCAGCATAAATTAACCATAAAGAACTGGACTATGATAGCAATTGAAGGTTAATTTCATGTTTCTAGCATGCGCAGCAGGAATAATTGATCTATTTTTATTAAATTATGCATACTAAATCACAAGGAGAAAAAAACATTTAAAAATATCTTAGGAGACTCTGATGTGTCAAAAATATCTCCTTCAAATATATGAAGGTCTTATGAGTGGATCAGCCCGAGACTGATTTTATTATGTCAAGACTGTAGACGCGAAACAAAAAGACATTTATAACCAATGAATAATCCAAGGAAAAACTCTAAGAGATGTGAAAAACATAGGCTATACTTTTGTAATAGGAATTACTTCCCACATTAAATGTTTAGTTGTTATTTTATAGGAATTCTCTTTCAAGATTATTTGCCCTTTTTTTTAATATCCTGTAACAAATCATATTTACAAATTTGATGATTAAGTTACTGATTTTGGTCTAAATTTCACTTAAAGAAAATATATTAATTAGATAAAATTAAACTCTTTAATTCAATCAATAATATTTTTCTATATTAGGTTAAAAGATCAATAAAAAAAAATTGTAAGACTTAGGTTATGATACTTGTACTTATTTTGTTGAGAAAATTACTTATATTTTTGAAGGTTCGTTGGACACCTCTAAATTAAATTTCCAACTTCCCTTCTTAAAAAAAATGAAATGTTACTATCTAAGGAGGGGGAATTCATATTGATTTTGTTAATATATCATCGAAAGTCTATAGGATTGACCCTTCGATTTAATTCATCTCTCCGTTATGACATAATTTATCTTGATGTGTCCACATTTTTGCTAGTTGTTCACCTCTCGAATAAGACCTCAATGCTATGAAACTACCCTGTGATTCAATTGTCTCTATTCTCCTCAATATTGTTATAATTATAGGTCTTAAATCGGTTGGAGAGAAATACTTTAACCGTTTTCGCCTCACATGATGAGTTTGAGACCAATATTTGATGGGAAAGAAAAACATATTGTCATTTCTTGATTGATAATTCAATGTCACACTGACGAGAAACACATAGCATTCCTAATGTACAAGTTATGCACCCAAGTATGTTGCGCTCGTTCGATACAAATCACTCATCACCAATTTAACCTTGCATATTTATTACACACAAGTTCTCTCCTCATTTGTCTATCCAAACTACTTTTGACTCATGTTTACACATAATTCGTTAAGTTTGTCAAAATGTTGAAGTCTGGTCGACCAAATGAAAATCTTTCATGTCTCTATGGTTTATCTAATTGTGGCTACTGTCGATATTTGAGTCTTTACTTCCTCTATATTTGATCTCACCAAATCTAATTCCTTTATGTGCACTTGAGCGCATCCAACTAGACTCTTGACATCCCAGAGCATTTAAAGTCAACGACACTTATTTGAAATTTTTGTTGAATAGAAATAATTTTGATATTCTTGCTACTCCGTTCACCATATAGAAAGTGCTCTAGAGAATATTTGAGGTCGTCATTGGAGATATTATCGTTACTGGGTTATCTTAATAGTTGGCTTCCTATCCAAGGATGTTAAATTCTTCCCATACAACCTCGCTATTTTTCGTGCCAGTTTGAACTTAGTCAAACAATCTTACTTCCTCGATTTCATCGGGCCATTGACACAAATTTTATTTTCAACTAATTGAATATCAAGAGAAGCTCCTGTAGTAAAACTAAACTTTTTCATTTCCATTTGAAGTCAACTTCTTATGTACTCTCAAGTTTTTCTTATGGTGGGATTAATGGTTCACCTTGATCCACAATTCTTTTGAACAAAATAAGAAAATATTGATCAATCATCCATCTTTCGTGGTGCAAGATATATCAAAGGCCAAAAATACGAACACTACCTTCAAATTCTAAAATTTGAGAATTTTTAGTAAGAATACTAACTTTTTTCCTTCTATCCAAAATATATCAAGATGGAGAACTATCAAACATTCAAAATCATTTCCCTAAAATAAATAAACAAGTCTATCACTATCTCGAAATTATCTTATTACCCTTACCTTCACTTATCTTGTCTTTTAACATACTTAACTCATTTTACATGTATATATTTTGACTAATAAGTTTTTTGGTGACACTTTCTTTTATCATTTCTTTCCTTAATATATTTCTTTATTTAAACTTTCTCATGTTAACTAACTTGTTCATATATTTTAGTTTACAAAATAATAAAGATCTTCGACTCGAGAGGCAAAGCAAAGGATGGTTTTGAGACCATCAAAATTGCACCCAAGACTCCTCAAAGCCAAAACAAGCAAAATATTTTAACTTCTTACCCAAAATGTAAAGTTAATTCTTTCTATACTTCTTAATTTTACATGCCATTATTTATGTTTCTATAATATATTTTTTTATCTTTTTCAAAAAAAAATTATATATATATATATATATATATATATATATATATATATATATATATATATATATATATATATATATATATATATAACTCGAAAGGGTGAATTCCAATGGCACCAACTCTCGTTGCTAACCCTTAGGTTTCATCTTACATTATTATTTATTGCGAATAAATTTTTGTTCAACTTTCCTTTTTCTTTGCAAACTTCATGATATTCCTATATTTACTTATAACATTATTCTACCTATTATATATATATATATATATATATATATATATATATATATATATATATATATCTTTTTATTTTCTTTTTCAAAATAGAATGAACTTCGACAAATATCTTTAACAACATTGACTCATTATTCCAAACTAATTACCCATCAAAGTAATAATTCATTTTCACTTTATATTTTATTATATTATTGTTGGTGGGAAAAATTGAGAATCTGAATCAAAAATCGATAGAAGAAAATTCGATGACCATGTGCTGGGGGAAATCGAAAATCGAAAGAAGAAAATTCGATGACCATGTGTTGGGGAAAATCGAGAATATGAATCGAAAATCGAAAGAAGAAATTCGATGACCATGTGTTGGGAAAAATCGAGAATCTGAATCAAAAATCGAAAGAAGAAATTCGATGACCATGTGTTGGGGAAAATCGAGATATGAATCGAAAATGTGGATAAATCAAGATATATATTAGAGTAGATAAATCGAGATATGAATCGAAAGAAGATAGAGGAAGTTTGATGAACATGATTGGGAGTAAAAAATCAATAATAAGTATCGAGTGTGAAGTTAAGTTTGAGGGAAGTCAGAGGTAGTTCAAAGTACTCGGTGTCTGGAATCAAGATCGAGGGAAACGTGCACATGGGAACATGGGTAGCGGTTTCTAAACCGTTCTTAGGTGGTCAGAAGCAGTTCAAAGTACTCGATGTCTGGAATCGAGATCAAGGGAAACAGTTATCGTGCACATGGAAACATGGGTAGCGATTTCTAAACCGTGGCTGAGGTTGAAATTGAGGGAGCAGTTATCTCGTGCATGGGAAGATGGGGTAGCGGTTTCTAAACCGTTCTTAGGTGGTTAGGTTGAAGAAGGTTATAAATAGAACGAAACATGAAGAAGGAAAAGGAATTTCAGAGGTATCAGAAATCTATTGTACAAGTCTACTGGAGAACGACGAATCATGGAGTTTCTGACAATCTGAGTTTCCACTTTTATTGACTTTTGTTACCGCTTTCTGTAATTTCCCTGGTAATTTATCTTTAATGCAATTTAAATTCATCTGTTTGTACTTTCCAGTTATTTCAATTCCTTGTCATCTACTCTTGTGCAATTTAAGATTCTGCATTACTTTTCGTCTCGATATCTTTTACCAATTCCTTGTCATTTACTCTTGTGCAATTTAAGATTCTGCATTCGTCTCGATATCTTTTAACGTTTTTCTTTACTTTCCCGGTAATTTATCTACTTGCAAGTTAAATTTACTTTTATGTACTTTCTAGTTATTTCAATTACTTGGTCATTTACTCTTGTGCAATTTAATATTATGTATTACTTTTTTGCCTCGACATCTTTTGACTGCTTTCTTTACTTCTGCCGATTCTCATATTCTCGAGTCTCTTAATAAAAAATACAAAAAAAGAACTTTCGATTTCATTGATGTCAGTATTCTTTTTAACCAACTTGCGTACTTAATTTATCGCTTCATACATTTTTTATTGAAAAACTGTTTGCTAGCCTAAATAAAAAGAACTTACGGTGGTTGAAATTTGATTAGAACTTAGTCTTTAGAAAATCGAAACAACCAAAAATTTCACCAGAAACAATTATATTTTATTATTATTTTTCTAATGTACTAAATTTCATAATATGTCCCAAAAAATATCATTATGTCGGGTATTTTCTTACTACATGAAATCATTTTACTTTTTAAAATAAATCTAAGTTTGAGATCACTAAGTTCAATAAATTAGCAAATATTATTTCATTAACGAAAGAGAAGGCTAGTGTGCACAAACTTCAAACAACAAATACTCGACCTCCAAAATAACTTCAAATTTTCAAGACCAATATCAAAAAGTTTTCCTAGACCAGCAACACTCTTAAAAGAATAATCATCAAATCTAATCTCTACAACTAAGAATGTTGTTATATCTTTGAAGGTCAATTTGGTTAACCTTGATAAAGAGCAACAATAATCTTTTGTATCAACTTCAATTGTAGAATAATGCTTAGTTTTTTCATATGTCAAACATTTTATTTTGATATAATTTTTTTCAATTGCTTAATATATGATAAGTTTTTAAATATTTGTCATTAATAGATATATATATGATTGTCCATTATCACAATTAACAACATTCTTAAATATTTGTTGTTAATTTATATATGTGA